TCCAAAGCTAGTTCCACAATCCTCGGGAAACCTTTGATAATCCGTAATCTTTGATCATTTTAGCTTGTCGATTCTGAATATTGACGCCGGGAACGCCTTACCGTGGATTACGACATATAATTCGCAGGGGCGGAAAATATTTGCTTTCTCTCTCGAATACTTGGCCCTTTTTAGTAGCGAAATAAATTTGTCGTTACTTTATTTCAGCATTCCTTTAGTTTTTTCACAAATGGCTACGATTCGCGAGTATTCGATTTTTCACGTCTTGTCCCCTTTAATTATTAAAATAGGCCACATTAGCGACAACGACGACGACTGTATTTTAAAGAGGGCCATACGACTCGCAATCAAGATCACAAAAATATGATTTTGTCAAAAGTCGTTTAGTGTTTGCTCCAGTGCAGCGGGTTAGCATTCGCATGTTCCCTTCCCAATTCCTTAAAAAGACATTAGCATGGAGTATGGCGGTGGAGTGGTCACCTCTGGGTCTGTCGGGGGTTCATGTCCCTCTGCCTCAATTCCCTCCATTCCCCCATGCCACAGACCGTTCGGCTCCATCGGTTCGAAGGGGCAAATAGAGACTGTCCAACCCCCACCCCAATCTCGAACCTCTAACAAAACCCATTCCTCCTCGTCGGGTTTTGGCCCTGCCAGGTCATCGGCCCGGCGACGTGAGAGGTCCTAGAAATGCTCACTCGGCACTACTACAGTCTCTCCTCGCTCTAAATTTTTGTATAAGAATTACTTTATTTTCTTGCCAGAAATGGTGTCAGAAATTTAAATATGAATTTTGGAATTAGCATGCAGAACTTGCCTAAATCTGCCGTTTTCATGGTTTTTGGAAGTAAAACTAGCTAATAAAAATCCATAACAAGAAAATGAACCGTCCGTGTTTTCACGCCTTTTCAAGAGCTGGCGATATAGTATACCTAAACGATGAAAACTACCGCTTCTAGAGGGGTTTTTTTTGGGACAACCTGTATATCATCGAAGTCATAGCTACAGCCCTATCCGGCGTCCGGGCCGGGTTATACTAGGATATATAATTCGCGCGGCTCCAAAAAGTCGATTCCGGCCACGAATACGTTTCGCGTCTTCTTGTATGTGGCTATTTTTTGCGTGGTAAAGAATTTTCTTGCGCTTTTAGGCAATGCTGCTCAAGGTTTTTTGTTTTTGATCAGTAGGGAAAACAGATGTGTTTTTTTGCCTTGCAAGCTGCTAACGCCGATGCCAATGCCAATGCGTTTGGTTGCAGGTCAAAAAAGGCATATTCGTGTTTTGGACAGCCCCTTAAAACGCGGTAGAGAATCGAGTCAGGCTCGCGGGGTAGTTTAGTATGGAATGCCGATTCTCGCCCATGCACACCCCTCTAGACAATCCGTTATACAAGTTCCTAATGGAACCGGAGTTTTCCGCGCCATCCCCCGACCTCTCCCCCCCAACCATTCCTTCTCGCCCCTCTGCCCCCAAATCCGCCGATTCCCCCCAAATCCAAAGCCTCCTCCCTTCAATTAACAAGATTGCTCTGCTGCCTTTGGGCCCTCGATGCCTTGATAAGGATTCTGGGCGGATTTTGGAGGATTTTGGGAGCTAAGCCCACTCACGCGCTCGCATCCTATACCTCTAGCATTAAATGGACGGGCAAATGCTATGATAGATACCTGATAGACCATAAAGATGAACTCCATTCACTATGCCGAACGTTCATTACGCCGATATCCTTTTTGCTACACTATCCTGACCCTTTTTTGGCTATGCCTTTCCGGTAAAGTGATGAATGCAACAGCAGGCTCGGTTCTGCCCCACGTTTAGCACCTACCGTATCCTGGCATTCTAAACACAATTTGTTTAAGATGTTAGACCATTCAGACGAGAAAGAGGTGTGCCTTAAAGGCACATTAATTTTATTCAACTACTTAAAGGCATGGGCAAGCCGTCACGATGGATTAACGTTGCCTATGGTTTCCCTACGGATTTGACCAGTTTCGCTACACTCACGGCAAACGCGGGAACCCCTAGTCCATTACGCACCGGAAAGGTGGGCGCTGTTTGCGTCGCGTTTTCGCGCCGGCGGCAAAATCCAAAGAATCCCATCAGCTACAATGGCAAGTCAGAGCCCGCACAAAATTACAAAAATCGCGATTAATGCGCGGTTCGCGCCAGCTTCTGCCCCCGAATCAGCAACAGTCCAAACGGGCGGTGCTTTCACCCCCCTTCACTTCTAAATGACCTCTTTTTTTTCCCGCTTTTTGGCTTTTTCCTCTTTTTTTGCCCCCTTTTTGCCGCGCTTTTTTGGCCTCCTTTCGCCGCCGCCCTTCCCCCCCCCTCTTCCGCCTGTCTTTCCCCCCCTTTTCCCTTTTGGTTGTCCCTTTTACGCGTTATCAGCTGACCCGCCGGGGATCGACATGTTTTGTTGGGGGTGGAAGGGCAAGAAGGCTACGCGGCGTGTCGTGTTATTCTAAAGCTGCCGCAGTCCGCCCAAAAACGTGTCGCTGCGGCCCGGAGAGGATCTCGCCGGCCGGAGAAGCACCTGGTACAGCCTCACTCCTCCATGTGTACAGCTGATAACCGTTACAGGCTTTGCCAGGGGTACGGTATGTACCGCTGAGTCGTAGGAGGCAGGCCTTTTTTAATAATATCATATTTGCAGAGGTCCTGGTGGAAAATTTTGAAAACGTCCTAATAAGCCGCAGTCACAGACTGTTTTAAAGATGTATGCATGATTGGATAGACCTATGATGCTGTCTGTTAGGAAAGACGGTCTAGGTCAAAGATTCACGGACGCAGAGGTGCCCGCGAATTTTATCGCAAACTCCTGTAACAGCTTTTGAGCCAAAATCTCTGCATAGCGTGATTTGCATGCGGTACCAGGAACGTCATTAGGTAGCTGTGAAAGAGTAGTCTCCAATTGATGTTGAAATCATGTAAATTGGCCAACGGATGGCCTTTGGAAGTTTAGGCCGTTTTTCCGAACGTTTCCCGGAATTTCAAACCTGATGCCACAATTTTGCCTGGCGCTGTAAAATTGAGCCCAGTGTTGCCCAGTTCGAACTGAGCTTTGTAGAGCGATTTCAAAAATTTAGTGATGGTCCGATGTTCCAACCTGGTAGGTTTTGACCCTTGCGAACGCTACAACCCGACAATCCCAACAGATTTTCGGCCACCTTCTCAATTCGAAAACTCATCTGCCTAAAAGTATGGTGCGCGGCTTTGTGGATGAGCCGGCTGTTTGTGCTCCGGGTCGCGGGTCTGGTGCTCAACAGGAGATACAGAGAGAAAGAGAGACCCGCGAATATCCTACTTATAAGACTTACAAAACCCCCTGATACCGGCTGATCCGCTCCATTGCAATTTCACTTTGTCTCCCCTCTTCCATTTCCCAAAACACACAGGAAAGGGGACTGATCCCTGGGTGCCCGAAAATCCCGGATCGGCTCAAGATGCCCCACAGGCACTTGGTAAATTCGGGGGCTTAGCCGGGGGCTCAGCTCGTCCCGCCCCAAGTCACCAAAGCCCGTCCGGATTGCAGAGCCGCCATAAAAGGCATGGCTGGAGGTACCCGAAATTTTGGGTCGATTATTTCGGGGGCCCGTCCCCTGGAGATACGACTTTTTACTTTATCGTCCCTTTAACGGCTTATGATCACAATCTCGAAAAGAGCCAGACCGAAAAACGCGCAAAGAAAATCCTCACCTACATGCAAAAATAAGATCATTTATATGGTAGGCTTGACTTTTCGGCATATTTTTTCGCGTTCAAGGTAATTTACTCCCTTTAACGATACTTTTCAAGTTATGCTTACAGACTCTCTAAAACCTCCTAGCCGCATCCAACCTTCCCAGTTTCTATTTTTCGAAATATTTGCGCGTCCATTTCTTCCGGGACCCCCCTCATACCTTATCTCAACTCGCCCCCCACCACCTCATTTCTTTGAAACACAGATGCACAACGCGTTGTTGGAAGGAAAGAGGGGGCATCGGGTCAAAGTGTGCACCCGAGAAGCCGAGACCGTTTCCGCGGACAGACAGCCCGGCTCTAGTCGATTGTCTACCGGAATGACCGGGGCTCTACAACTAGTTCCCTTCAAGGATTATTGGAGACCTGATAAGACCTAGAGGGCCTGGAGACGGAGAACGAATTCACTGGGGCAACGTAAACAGGAAAGGGGGTTTCGGAACCGCGCTGCCTAGACCTGCGTGCCTAGGCCTGGTCTACAGCTAAGTTCAATCTAAATTTGTGCGTGCGTTCTAGCAGAAGCCTCAAGATTGATACCCAGGCAAGCCTGAGCTAGGCCTAACCCTACGCCTAAGCCCGACGCCTGCTAACGCTAATCGAGAACTTAAACCAAAAATTCAATAACGTTTTGCGAAGGTTCATCCTCTAATGAACTCCAAAATGGCGTCCCATGGCGACCACGTGCCCCTATGGCTGTTGCGCTTCCCTATCGCAACTTCTTTGGGCGGCCGCGATGTCGCAGATTTGACTGCCCCAGTAGTACTGAGCCAGTACTTTGGAAACAACTTGTGTCGATTTTTTGGAGTTCATTATGTGGAGACGGTTGTTCATTCGCCTCTATTATACCCGCTACGATACTCGGCTCTTGACGATCGCTCTCTCTTTCTCTCTCTCTCTCTCTCTCTCTCTCCTCTCTCTCTCTCCCTCTCTCTCTCTCGCTCTCCCACCCTACCATTCGCATTACCACTTCCATTTCGTCAGCTCCATAATTCCCACCACAAATTGAGTGGGTTGGTGGGTCGGCGTCGTGTGCCGGTGCCTTATCAAAGTGCAATTTCGGTGAAACTGTTTTTCGACGCTCCCCCGCACGGGTCGCGCCCAGGCCCAACCATGCAGATTTTGTTATCTGGCCCGCATTTCGACGCATTTTCGCATCCAACTGCCCCAAGGCTTCTCCCTCTCCCCCCCCCTCCAGCATTGAGCTTTGCACTCGACACTTCCTCTTCATACCCTTTCCAACACCTTTATCCAGCCCTCACGTTCAGATGATCTCCGATTTCGAAAATTTCCCCAGCCCGCAGACGGCCAGGCAACGGATGCGACGGGTGGGTGGTAAATGGATCCGGGAAAACAGAAGCTCGAATTTTCAGAGTCGCAAAGCTTAAGGTTCTGAAAACTCGAGATTTTCAAAAATTCGAGTTTTTAAGAATCCGATATTCTGAATATCAGTGTTCCGATAGCCAACCGGTAAACCAACCACCCCAACTTCTTAATTTCAGACGAACAAGCCGATGATGGAGAAGAAACGGAGGGCGCGAATCAATCGCTCGTTGCAGGACCTGAAGCAGATACTGCTCGACTCGTCGCATACGGTAAGAGGGTGTGGATTAGCAACGGAAACGCTTGTTCAGTCGCCATCGCATGGCAAATGGGAGAAGGCGGACATCCTCGAGATGACCGTCACCTATGTGCGACGATTGCTGCAAGGGAATGGGGGTAGGTATTTATTTGGCTGCGGATGTCAAAAGACAGTTGGTTGTAGTTTGTAGCTGTTTTTCAACGCAATAATAATCCCATCTTAGTACTAATTTAAAGGGGCCCGGAAGTCGAAATTGAACCTACTGGTCAAAAAAGGAAATGGTTAATGCCAATAAGCACCAGAAATGTGATTTCGATGCGAAAAACGTAAAATATTTGAGCAAATCTGAAATAATGAACTGTAGCTTTATGAGAGTATCTGATCCAGGAGGCTTTACGACATTCTAAGCACTGAAATGGTAACAACCTAGGAACGTCGCGCACACAAACGTGGCTGTCACAGCTTTTTTGCTTAGGCATTGTCCGTTCCATTTTGCAGGATTTCGACTGTAATTTAACAGTCAATTTGATGTCTTAGATGTCCGTCCGCCAGTCCTGATCTCCGCGCGCAACGCATCCGACAGCGAGTCCGGGGATTTTGATGGCCAGCAGGTATGTTGGAGCATAAGTCGAGGCCGCAAAATCAAGCTAGTCAATCGATCTTAAACAATGCAATGTACGACTTGCAGACAAATCTAAGCGTCGATGAGCCGTGTTCCCCATCAACTACTCATTCTTCGGCCACCAACAGCGCTCCCCCCTCGCCGCCCATCTGTCAGGTGAGCGGAAATTCAACTCATTCAAAATCCCCTTGAATTCAGCTCGCGCTCGGCACGAAAAGACATCGAATGGGGAAGGTGGAAGAGGAGCCGTCCCAAAAAGTGTCCTCAATGACATCGAACACCTATGGGAATGCGATAGCTGCGAGCCTGGCTAATGTGGCTTCGTTGGCTTCGCCAGTACCCGTTTATGCTAGCAGCATACTCGGTCAATTCGCCATGCAACAGGTGAGATCGCTAGAGCTAGCCCTCCAACCATGTCGATACATAACGAGCCAAAGCCTAACATGTAGCGAAAGCCTAAGTCTAAGCAAAAACTGAAGCCTCTAAACATTCTGAATCTCAGCAGAAGCCTAAGTTTATCCTTAAGCCTAAGCCTAAGCCTAGCCTTAAGTGTAAAAGCCTAAGCTTATCCTAACCTAAGCCTAAGACTATGCAAGCCAAGCCCGCCAAAATGCACTTTGCTTACCCCTAAATTCCAGCACTACGAGATGCTCCTAAAGACGTACAGTCTAACAACTGGTGCCGCCCCATCCGTTCCGTTTCCCGCGACGCCACTGATGTCATTCAGCAGCGTGCCCACCTTCCTCAATCTGCCCCATGCTATGCCCTAACTTTCGTTGTTTTTTGTTTTGTGTTTGTAGTCATTTATCCCCGTGTCTCCCATTCAAATGCATTTATCTACCCGCGAACCCGGGGTGACGTGTATGATAAGTGTTTTCGATTCTGGACTGTTAGCGGGGGGGCACACCTTGTTTTCCAGCTGCTGATGATATCTTATGTATTTTTATAGTGTTTTTAGTAGTTTATTATTGCTGGAAATTTACAAAAATATTTGAGAAAATTTTGCAAAATTCGAAAATTTGGACCCTTTTTGGTATGGTTCGAAAGCTTGGATTCCGAAAATTTTTGTTATCTTGTTATATTGTTTTTATATCTAAAAACTATGTAGAATGTTATAATAATGGTTTTTGTTGTGTAATAGGGCCGCTGAGAAACACAGGGGAAAAATAATCGGTTTCCCCCCGCTAAAAGTCCAGAACCGTGTTTTCAAGGTTTTGTTCGAATCGTGTTTGTGGTGTTGTTAATTGAACTAGTCGTGTAATTCGTAGTCTCCAACCGGTCTGCCTCATCTTGTAGAGCCACACTTCGTCTTCTTGTGTGTCAAAATCGATATGAAAGTCCGATTTTAAGGTGATTTGAGGTGTAACACCGGTGCATTAAATGAAAAGGGTTTCCGCAGCTTTTTAAAGAAGCCAACCCAGAAGAGTGATCCCTGCCCCGTTTGCAACCCCAGTTAATGTTGACCATTTTCCTCCCCGATTTCTCGAAGCAATACACGGTAGCAATGGAATATCGTATACGAGTGCTCAGCCCCTCATCAATATATCCTCTCCATTAAAGTTGCGCTAATAAATGAGTGTATATTTATTGAGCAGAAAACACGCAGCAGACGGGATGTAATGCTGAGTAATTATGTTGTAGATTGATAGGGTTCGGGTTTTAGTAGCGGGCGAGCATCACCGAATCCTTCTTGATCAACGGCGTGAATTCGTCCGATTTATCGTAGTCTGGATTCCTGAAAATGAAGTGCTAAAAATATCCGCACCCTCTTAGAGTGTTGTTTGAATAGCGGATGCATTTGGGGGATCATTTTTAGTTATTTCTGAGCATAAACCGAACCACAGCCTAAATTTTATTAAAAAAATGGAATATCGCTAGAAAAATTGATTTTTCGGCTCAAAATGACGATATTTTCGACCTTTTCAAACAATTTTTGAATTTTTCTACTTCAATTATAGCTAAAAGTACCCTCCCTGCGAGTCAACCGGAATTAGTTACAAACGCTAAAAATTATTTAAATAGTATGGGCTAGATATCCCCCGGCTAACAGTCGAGTACCAACAAACATTTACCGAAGTATACGAAATACAGAATACCCACGTCCGCTCGGGCGCCAAATCCTGTCCATATTCTGGCGCAGTCCTGGCGGGCTGCGGTACCAGCGGTTGCCCAATCAGTAGATGCACCGGATCATTGGCCGATAGTCGGGCCAGCTTGTTCACCGGAAGCCGTGCAGTGTGCTGGGTGGCCTCCTGCTGTGATACCTCGAAGCAGGCCGTCTTCATCTGCTGAAACTCGGTGCATAACTGCTGTAATGGGCCCGTTCTTGGGTAGTACCTCAGAGGGGACCTTTGGCGTCGTCTTTGCCTGCACTGCAAAAGAGCGGTTTGGAAGAGGAAAAGGTGTTCAAGCTTACCGGTTCTTCCCGACCTTCCAGATGCACGTTGTTGTTGTGTGGTCTGCATCTCGGAAGGCGTCTCCAGCTCCATAGTTGGTGCTTCAGCCAGGGGTCGCGATCTAGTGATTTTATGATTTTCGGCACAAGGAGTTACTTTTGCTCGAGTTCCGGCTTGGGTGGGCTTTTTGGCAATTCGTCTCGTTGTGTCTTGCACTGGAATGGTTTGTTTTAATTTGGATCGGAATATACGGTGTGACTGATGCTAACGCCGGATCCACCAGCCGATTCTAACCTTTCTATCCCGTCCCCGGCCCCAATGGCCTACAAGTTTCTATTTTACCACAAAATGTGCGTCTTTGGTCTGCGGAGTATCTTGGTATACTTTACACCCCCTATAGGGCAGTGGGGAGCCGAGATACAGTAGGCCAGGGTCGGCTGGGGAGGAGAGAATCTGCGGTTTAGCCCTCACCACTTCGACGTCGCCCTTCTTGCCGACGGCATTACACGTCTCCGATTTCGACTTGATGGGCTCTTTCTTTGGCTTTGTTGGCGCCAGGATTACCGTTACAGGCTGAAGATGAAAAGATGCTGTACATATATGACCTACATCAACATGTTTCTCCTCTTTACGCGCCGCAGGACGAGAGCCGGTGACAAGTTGGGGAGGGCTGAATAAAAGGGTAAGGCTGTAGCCCACCAGCCGAGCCCGATTTTTGTAGCTGGCTTTCTTTTTTGCCTTGCGAAAGTATATGAAAATGCTCGTTTTGGCCTGCTGAGCATTTTAGTATACGTTAATGCCCCGCAGGACAACGGGGCGCAGAGATACAGTAGGCCAAGAAAAGTGAATTGTCTCGATCCAGCGAGACCTCTTTGTGAAGAGATGATGGAAGAAAAGGAAGACAAAGAAGACGAACATCTCGGCCAGATAAGTGAGCACGAATACGCTCTTAAACTCATCTGTAGTTTGCGTCTGAATTCTCTCACCGCAGCCAGCTTCATCGCCTCCCATTGTTCGGGCACCACCATTGCCCCCAAGAAGATGCAGAGATGAGTGGAGAATATGATTTTGTTTTCATTTGTCGCTGACATATGAATTATATTTATTCAAGCGGTATATGCAAATTTAAGGGTAAAACATCTTTCATCGTCTAGTTCCGTAGAGGAAAAATACATTGGTTTTGTATCGAAAGTTGAGAAAGCTTGTGTGAGTTAAACCAGATAATTCAAGCTTTATTCCAAACAATCGTCGAGATGCTGTGTCCTTCGATTTTCATCGTCAGCACCCGTTCCGGCATTAATGGATCATGAATTTCCACGGTTTTTCCGGCGTCACCTAAATATTTGAAAGGCCATTAAACCCCGGGATTACCTCGATTTAGAACGACCGCAACCCGTTTGGACTTAAAGGAAAATGCGACGAGTTTTAGGGCGGGATCACGGTCGAGAAGCTGCGATTTGATTCGCGTAGATCCCACTGGCACCCAGGCGCTGCAAAATAAAAATGAAGAATCACGACTCGACGGCTAAACTGCAGATAAACCACCTCCACTGGCTGGCAGAGGGGGGTAGGCCTATAGTCGCTGCGGAATTATACAATCCTGACACACCTAAAATGCCCGAGCGCATAGTAGGTGGGCTGTTTGTAGAACTCGTCACTTCCCCTCGTCCCATTCCGTAGAATCGGTGCGTCGGCGTTGTTGGCAACGAACGTGGGTCCGCCTGTTGTATCCAGCACCAGATTCCAGTCCACCCAACCCGACACAAAGTTGTTCAGGTCCTAAATAAAGGCTTTCTTTTTACCATACCCCGATTATCGTACCGTAACGGTCAAAATGTTATCAAATTGGGAAATCGCTTGTATCTCGAATGCTCAAGAAGCAAAATTTCCGGAAAATTGAGACTAGGTCAATTATATAGCGCGGCATCCGAGGACAGTATCGAAATAGAGCAAAATTGTAAGTATCTATGAAATTATCAAACATGGCATTTTCCCTTGTAGCATCTACGGTTTACAAAACATCACCGTCGTGTAACGAAAACACCTGTCTTGGTCAGTTGTTGATTTTTGCTAATCGCAACAAATTATTAAACACTTAAACTTACAAATCTGCGCAATTCCGCAACTGTCACAGGATTCCCGCTATATAATTGGGTTAGTCTCAAATCTTCGGAAAATTTGGAGACGATTTTCCAAACCGATAACTTTTTGTCCGCTACGGTACATCAATGATGTCGGCGGCGTAGTTCTCTGCTCGACTCCAATCACCCAGGATTGGCCCGTGAACGCCAAGGAAGCCGGAACAGGCCTGAACAAATGTTGCTCCTTCCTACAAGACATTCAGGGGGACCTCTGTGGCCAGAATAAACTTGTCAGGATGTCGTAGGGCGGTCTCAGTCAGAAGAGAAGCCGGCGCGAATGCATCCATATACCAGTGGATACCGATGCCGTCTGCATATTCTCGCGCTTTCGCATCGGCAAAAACCTAGATACTACGATACTTTGATTTACTTCAAATACCCCCACCCCACCGCCGGACCTCGGTTACTGTATCTCGGATCCCCGTTTTGCTACAGGGCTGTAATTTTTTTCAACACACTCTGAGACGAAGACGCAGATTTCCAAACAAGACCCCTTCTAGCGGTCCGCAGTGGTGTCTGATTTTTACGATTTAGGTATCTATAGAACGATCTCGAAAAACTGAGAATCTCCGATTTGTGAAAATCCCAAACTTATAACGCGATTTTCATCGTTTTTTGGGCATAAATTTCGCATTTTCTGCAAAAACTCAATTTTATCGGGATCAGCTGTGTTTTCTCAAATGCCTTTAAAAAAGTCGACCGTGGGATGCCAGGAAAGATGTAAAAATTTGGAAATGGGTTTTTGTTACAAACGCTTACATGGGAAAAAAACATCGAAAATTGGCAGGGGGTCTTTTTTGGGGACACCCTTTACAGGTTTCTAGAGCCAAACTGCGGCCTAGCCTGACCAGAATAAAATATGCACAAGCGGAAATGGCGAATCGTCCGTTTCTCCACCCACCTCATCAGCCCAAGCAGGCAGTTGAGGCCGATCATCGTCAAGGATCAACACCTTCAGACCTCGCGTTAGAGGCGAACCCTTTAGACGAGGCCCCAGATGGTTTACGAGGAAGTGTCTGACACATTAAAAAAGTTACTGATGATCCCACAACAATACGATAAAGGTAAAAAAAACCCTGGCCAACTGCGGAAGGGTTGGATCTCTAAAAAAATCTACCTCTGCATGGATGCATTGAAGTACATGGTCTGCCAAGTATAATCAGGATTAATCCCGGAGGTCGGCTCGTTTTGCATCGTCAGTCCCCAGTAGAGAATCCCATTTGCCGCATACTGTTCGAAAAATCTGGGAAAGCAGATGAGAATAATTGCCAGTTAACGTCGCCAACTTGACAAAATATGAAGCCCATGTTGAGTAGTACGGTCCATCTAATGGGCCTCGTAACGCCGCCCCGCCTATCATTCGACCATTTGTCTTCATCCAACCTATGGTTGAGGGGTTTTGTTTATAGCGCATATCCAGGCGACGTCCTTGTGATGCTACGGGTGCGCCTATTTACGGCTGCTCCCTACAAGCTGTCCCAACCCCCTCCCCCCTCCCCGTAACTAGAGACCCGCAGACCTGTCCTGTTTACGATTTAGATATCTAGCGAAAGCCCTTGACAGGCGGAGGAAATATGTTCTTCCCGCTTGGCCAAATAAGTTGGGGTTTTTTTAAAAACACGTTTAACTTTGAGATGAAAAATGTTGGCATTTTGAAAATCGAAGATCACGAATCTCTTCAGCTTGTCTTGAGCTTTCGGTAGATACCTAAATCATAAAAATCTGACACATCCATCGGCGGGCCGCTGGGTTGGGGCCTGGGTTGGACCGGGCAGTTCTGTGTGTGGACTTCAGAGAACCTACCAGGGGCTGACCAGGGCGAGGCAAACAACTTCAAATTCCCGTTGGCGATCAATTGGGCGGTCTTGATGAATGGGATCTGGAAAATGAGATTCCCCCGCAAGTATCCACATACCTTATAATCGAGATCCTCGGGTTGTAATGCGAAAGACTTGAGCTCCAGGTCTCCGCTCGTGTCGGCATATGAATATTCTCGAGTGCCAAAATCGGTGCTAGCCATTGGGACACGGCCGAATGTGTAGCCGATACCTGAATATCCGTTTTACATTGCGAGTCCATCCGTTGGTTTTTACTTTATTTCACTCGATGCAAAACATCAAAACGTAGCAACACGTAACAACACACGACAGACTTACCATTTTCCGGGGAAAAATATGCTTCAAGCAGTTTGTGCGCCGCTCCGTGTGACAAAGCGGCCAGGTTCAATCCAGCAGCATCACTGAAAGCCCCTCCAAAGCCAAGAATATTCTGGAAGAATGAACGGGCGTCAACAAGGATCCGGACAGCCGAACTTGACCAAGATGACGATTCTGGAATTTCTAATTGAGTTGTGGTGCAATTGTTCCGCCCCCCCTCACCCAAGTCGATCACAACATTGTATCTTTTGTCCCCGCAATGTTACAGGGTTATAAAATATACCGAGATACTCGACAGGCCACGATGAACATTTTCGTATATACAGCTTTCTAGTAAGAAAGACAACCGCGCTACAAGAATTCGGGCCGGCTCGGGGCTGCACTCCTACCCCAATTTAACCTGATCCAGAAGTAACCTACTCTTGCTTCTAGGCTGGAACATGCGTTGTTGGACGTGGAACCTTTTCCCGGAAAGGCTCGAAGTGATGATCGAAGCGCCATATCGATCAAGCTTCGGGAGCTTCTGAAATAAGGGGTCTTGTCAATCGATCATATATTTTGGTGCTTTCGCATTATCGGGGGGACCAACTTCTTTCCTTAGTATCGGATTTTTGTAAAATAAATAAAGGAAATGTTCTTAGACAGCTTTTCCCTATTTCTAAACACAAACAACATTTTCGAATTTTTCAAAGGTTTTTATGTAGTTTTGTGGCCTGAAACTGTGGTTAAATTTTACTAAAAACGCTATTAAAATATTTACTAACACTTTTAGGATACTACTGCGTTACTAGACATTTTTGGACAATACAAAAAGGTAGCACCCCTCCCCCCCCGATACTGGGAAAGCACCTATTTTTTGGCGATTCATGCGCTATGACCTCTGCTACAACAAGCATCTTACCGGGACAGAATCGCAATAGGTACCATTACAAACACAAACAATTCGATCGGATCCGAATCTCTTAGAAACGCAACCTTGTCCAGCAGCTATTCCTGTAACCATTATAAATACCCACGAAAATCCGGTTAGAAACCTATAAGTGCGCTGACAAGGAGCAGTACTGGGACCCACATCGATTCGTCGAGCAATGAACAGGGGGTATATGTTTGTCATCACGGTCTGTCTGACACTTTATAAACATCAAGCGTGTGTCTGGCAAATTGCGTGTTTTTCTGAGGATCAATGTTTTCTTTTCCTTTTTGTATATTCGTCCAAAGTTCAAAAGCATTTATTACGCATAATTTGTATGTACATACCCATTTCATGAATAATGGCATGATTCGAGGTAAGAGTGTAGCTGACCCCAGGCCAATCTTGTGCAGAATTTTGCGCTGATCAAGAAGTACTTTGCAGAATCTGCGAAACGCCAGTATTTCAAAAAAGTTACGAAGCTTTGAAGTGTGAAAGATGCCCAAAATGGCCAACTTTCGCCGTTTTTCTCCTTTTAAACCGTCCTAACTTTCTTATTTCGGTCGTTTTGCAGATTCTGAAACCGAGGTTTTAAACAGCAAAAAATTCTGCACAAAATATACTTGGTTGCATTTCGAATCATAAAGAACACCAAAAAAAACGTCTCCCTGTTAGCCCGATCCTGTTCGTCGAACGGATGTTGCGACCTTACATCCATTTCAAAAGCTTAAGCATGCAAAGCTTGAGATGTGAGACACTTGGGTTGCAATCAAAAGGCAGTGGCCAGATCACGGCAAATCTTTTGTTACTAGAGGAAGTCCGCATTCGGCCAAATCATCCATTTCAGAATATTCTCCCGCATACGACAGTTGCATTGGTTTGAAGGTGGAGAGGAGCGGCGGCCTCCGTACTCCGGCCACTCTACCCATTCGCCCAGGGTTCCATGTTAGACTGTGATTCGGGTGGATGAATGTCGAATAGGGGCTCTTTCCACTTTCAACCATTGATCGGGGCCTTCCCCATTGATGAATGCCATACAAATCGTCTTCCGGCAATAGTTGACCCATCGATCGGCTCGTCACAGCTCTAAAAATTTGGATTGTGGCTGCTGGTATGCCTAATAAGGAGATGTTTTTGGGTGGCAATCTAGCTTCCGTAGGGCACCAAGCCTATCTTGTGCAGGATTTCACGCTGTTTCCCATCCGTTTTTAATAAATGCTGAACGACTATTTTGAAGAACTTATGGGGTGTTTTAGTACCGGAAAAGGTAAAATATACTCCAAACTTCGCAAAAAACTTCAAAAGCTTGTTTGAAGGAGCATCTTTTTCTGAGCGACGTGTGTTAAAAATTTTCATCGAAAACTGGTGCTGTAAGTTGTTGCGGAGGTTGCAAGCGGACATTTTAACCTTTTACGGCACTAAACACCCCATAATTTCTTTAAAATCGTCGTTCAGCACTTTTTGAAACCGGATTCGGAATCGGCGAGAAATTCTGCACGAAATGGGCTTGGCCCATCTCGAAGCTCCAAAACCAATAAAAAAAACCACTCCTTGTAAGCTGGCTAACCCGGAGTATAAGCTAAGGCTAGATGTTTGTGTCTCAGTCGTCGCCTGCCGGTGTTCGAGACGTGTTCTGGGGAGACCGATGTCGTGCTTCGCCATTCGTTGAGCCCTTTGTCGTGCGCATAGGAGAAGCAGGACAAATGCAATGAGACATCCGCTGCCCGCGGCAATCCACCACAGCCCTCGTTCATCAACGATAGATCGCAACATATCAATGGCACTACCTCTCCTGAAATTTTACGCTTTACGGAAATTACAATCATTTCGTCCCCCTTCCCCCCCCGGTAACGAACCAGAGCCGAAATTCTTCAGGCTCTACTGACCACGGGACGCTGTGAACCGGTGAGACTTGAATCTCCTGAATACGGGAGACTTGGCTCCCATCTTCGATTTTGACACATCCCAACGAGCAACAGCCGTGTCCTGCAGGACACTTGTAGTAGATCGCTTCCGTCTTAAAAAACGTGAGTTCGTAAGGGTTCTTTTCGTTGATTTAATCCCACCCTCACCCCACTGCACCCGAGTCCTTGCTTAAAACCCAATCTCCGCAACCTGTTGAGAAAGTAATGCACGATTCCGATCGTGCCCTAACACAAAAAAGATGTGTCTAGAAGCCATTTTCAAAGACAAACCTCGTACATCTTATAAGATGGACGTACGTACCCGGATGTGAAATTGAGTGCGGTTTTGGTAGAGCTGGTCGAATTGACTGAGCCGATAGACACAGTTCATACCCGCCTTCTTCTCCAACGAATAGAGAATGTCCCCTTCCATCACCTGAATTCAGCAATATGTGATAAAGCCCGAAAATGTCTACCTGGTAGTCATTATAGTACTGCCTCGCTCGAGTTGCAACCGCGCGCCGCAAGCGTTTCCGCTTTTCGGTGATTTCGCACATGAATTTCTGAAGCAATTGAATTCCTAGCTCTTTCGCATGATCGCGTTAGCCCAACATTTTTTCTTTAGTGTCCAATTTCGCTGAAATAAATAGACGAAATTTTTTTGTTTAACCGGTTTTGCTATTCCCGAAAACAAAACCTTCAAAAATTGTGCTCAAACAATTCAAAATTTCAAAATGCTAAAAACGCTTGAAGTTTTTGGATCTGAAATTTTGTTAAATGTGACGAAAACCAATATCGTTAATAAACATTTCTCGGATCCCCTTCCCGATGATGCGAAAGAACCGAACTTCTCCAAAATATATGTAATGTTTGATTACGACGTTTTTTTTATTTCGCGGTGCCTCTCCGTCTCCGATAATGCTCTCTGCTAGCAATGTTCGTATTAATGTCCTTTGTCCTTCCCTCTTACTTTAGCACTCCTAATAACTGCCATTCAACTCGCGGCCAAATTGTTTTTGTCCAGAGGAAAGAACGGGGGGAATCGTTATCGCAGCGCCGACAAGCAGCTCAACCATTTTTTGCCCTCATTCGCCGAAATCCGTGCATGTGAATGGCGGCTTTACAGCCAGTCGATAGAAAAAAGCGAAAGTTAAGGGATGAGGGCAAAGGCCTCCTGACTAATTTGCAGAAATGACACACCTCTTGTAGAGCTGATGAACGTCGCGGACAGCATTGCAAACCGCAAGCCCTTTCATCTCGTCCGCAATCAAATGTTATCTGTATAGCAAAATACGTTTGGCATTCAGAGACACTGCACACCTTTTTTAGAGCATAAGTTCGATCGGGGTGGATGGCTCTCCACGCGGATTTTATACGCAGCGGCACAATGAAGACCTCCTCGTCAAGAAACTGCAGCGCTTTTAGGTGAAACGTCGCGTCCGTATTCTCGGGGGTGTTCAGCCGAAAACTTCGGTTGTTCCACTGAAAACGGTTGCTTGTTCATCTTTCGTAATTGTTGTGGGAGTAGGCCCTCAATTTCTCCGTTATTTTCCGCTCAATTTTGCACACTACAAGGTAAAATTGTTCCAATACTAAAAATTTGTTCCCAACTTTGGGCTTCCATAACTTTGGATAGACTATGCATTGTCATGTCAGTATGTTTAAATATGGCATGAAAGAGGAGCACCCAAGTTGATTTTTTCGATTTTCGACGACGTATACCCGAAAAAATAGATGATAAAAAATAGCCTTTAGCTAACTTTTCCTGGTTCAATAAATCTAATATTTTGCCTGTACATAGCTACTACTAGCAGCTAATTACATTCCAGTAATTAGACCGATCCCGACCCTTAGATTGACGGAAAACTGCAACGCATGTTTTTTCGAAACGCACATTTTTCGGGTGTCATTTGTATGTTTACGTCGCCGAAAATCGAAAAAATCTAGCTGTGTTTTTCCTCTTTCCTGCCATATTTAAGCATTCTGACATGGCAACGCCTTGTCAATTATCCCTCTAACAAAAGTTATTAGAGCCCAAGAGCCTTGGGAATAATTTTTTTGGGAGCCTCTAGCCCTCTCCGGTCTCAAATCAATATCCGAACGGCCGGCGGAAGCTCCATTAAGCGCTTCCCCCATCGGCAAGGCGCCATTACGCGTTATCGGTCGTTTAGTGCCGCCAAGTTTTGGGCGGCTTAAAAAAGGTAAGCGATCTGTAGACCTGAAGACTATCGTTCCCCCTGAAAACCAGAGGGCCAGTGCTATTGAAAACAAACAATACCTGGCAAGCAAAAGTTTAGTATTCTTGCAGATTTGAAAACCTTGAACAAAGTCAGATTTCGAAAGTTTTGATCGTTTTCCTTCAGCTTTTCAAACCAAAAAACGGCGTAGAAATTTAAATAAATGGTGTGTCTTTTTCATTATTGGGGCCCTGCGGGGCGATAGGCTCAAGTTGCCCTTCACCCCCCCCCCGCTAACAGTCCAGAACCGCGAGTTTGCAAATATGGAGCGGTCTGGAGGAAGCTCAAGTCAGATCGGGATGATTTTTACATCATCCGAAAGAGCTCGAAAGGGCGAGAACAAGCTGGCTTCATTTTTTAAGATTTAAGCTAATTCCATCCACACTTAAAGTTTTTCTAGAAAACTGGTAATCTTTCAAGAGGAATTTCGCAATTAGCATGCACCAGGCATGCAAGCATCATGCACAAATCAGCTGTTTTATGGTTTTTGGGTGTAAAATCTGCGAATAAAAATACATAATAAAGAAACTGAACCCTACTTGTTTGCTCGCCTTTTCGAGAGCTTTCGATAGATACCTAAAAGGTGACAATCGGATACAACTGCATGCCGCTAGAGGGGCTTCTTTTTAGGGACATCCTTTAGTGGTGGAGAATTTTTGTGATTCGTTGGATCCGGTTCTCTCACCTGTACATCAGCAGCGTCGTCGATGAGTATTGAAGAGTACTGGTTCCCCTGTGCATCGCTGTCCCTCCGTTGCTCACCGTACTTCGCAACGATAGCCCGTAGAATGTCGGCAGTTTCTCTGTTGCAAACCAATTGCACGGCTATTCCCAAAAAGCCCTACTTCACCGGGAAGCCATTTAGACATTTGCCTTCTGGAGGGCTGGCTGCGGCAATAGCTAGAGATATCCACATGATCACCCAGGAGCCATGATGGTGCATTATAGCAAAACGCGACAACCGTGGTCTGCAAATTAGACTATTACCTTAAAATCCCGAGTATAGCCCCCCTCCCCGAGTAGAGTTCCGGATCAAACGTACGTAGCGCCCGTAATTCCGTATTCGTAAATAGGTGCGCTTCGTTTTCGGTTACTTGCAAATAACTCCGTTCACGAAAGGTATTTTTGCAATTCGATTGAAGATTTGCTCACATTTCAACAATTTCCAGCATTTTGTGTGGTTAATGAAGGAAATGATTCAGAAAATGCTAAGAATTGCTTTTGGCAGCTTTTGCGGCAAAGGGCGGGGACGCACGTTATTAGAGCGTCATTTGTCCTGGTACGTCGCCAAAGTGTGCCGAAACTATACTCGAAATTTTAGGGCAATTTGGGCTAGAGAATTTTACCCTCCTCGCCGTTCAACAAAAGTAAAATAACCGGAGGGAAGCCAAAAAAGCAAAATAAAAATGACGCTATCGGGAAGCCGATTCGCCGGGGTGAAAGAGACGGAGGGTCGCCGTTTTTCCCGTATCAGCGCGGAAAACAGCTAAAGATAAGCGGGGCAGCTCCTCCTCACCGGCGGCTAAACGTCTTCTAGGTGGCCAACAGCCTATATTATATGTATGTGCGGACCAGAAATATCGAATAGAACGCTTTATTCAATTGTAAAAATGGCAGGACCCGTTAATCGATGTGGCAAGGAATTATAATGTTTTGAAAGTATGCTTCTGTCTAAACGGGCAGCAAGATCAGCAGCCTTTGGTAGATATTTGAAAGCCAGAGGGGAGAGAGAGAGGGAGAGAGAGAGGGAGAGAGAGCGAGAGATAGACATAGAGAGACAGAGAGAGACACGTGGTAAGAATTAGTATCAATTATCATAGTTTCTTTAATGGAATTCGCAATGCACCTAGCGAGACGAAGCGCTAACCGCTTTCTGTTCTCCCACTTTTGCCGTCAACAACTGTCACCTGGGGCGTCGGGGGACTCCCCAGAATTTCGTCGATTTGCCGTTTTTCCCTTCGGTCTCTAAAACATTGATGTTAATAGTAAACACAAATAAAGTTGTTTTTTTCAAGTACACTATCCAAATATAAAACTTTGGGCTTCCGATTGGAATTACCTGCGACAATCGTAGATACACGCGATGAGAAATACAAACAGGATCGTGAAGAGCAGCACCACCGGAAACATCCGTTCAAACTTGGCGTATGGTGTTTCAGAGCTTTAATGTGCCTAATATAGTTTTGGCTTTTGGGGCTCACTCGGTGAAAATTAATCGGTCGTCGTCAGTGAGCCCGAGTGAGGGGGTGGAGGAAGAGCCGTCCATCAGCCCCATGCCTATATGTTTATCTTGATGGCTACCGGCCCGAGATACTTGCGAAAAATGTAAACAATGTGTAACAGGACAATGCGTGCGCGGAAATATAGATGAGTGGCATTAGGCAAAAATTACGATAGGGAACAAAAGTCGGGAATCTATCGTTATCTCGAAAATTCACATCTGGAAGGTTCAATATCTCGAAAAGTCATTATCTTGACAGTTGATAAACTCGAAATCTTCATTGCGGTTTTAGCATAAAATTTCTAAATTCTGGATGCGATTTCATATAGTCGAATCTTCGAGATAAAGATAGGAAATCGCAAACATCGCAAACAAGAATTAAAAATTTGTTAGTTAATGGCGAAATGTGACATTTGGCTTCCTAGGGGCCAAAACCACCAAGTTTAGATCATTGTCATCTCAATCTCGTGGGTAGGATGATTTATCGGAAGAATGGGGAACTTTTCCCACCCTTACCATCACATAAAAGGGACTCAAAGGGATCGTTGACGCAAAGCGAGCAGTGGAACAGATCATAGCTCTCGCGGGCAAAGGCACGGAAATTAATAAAAAAACAAAATGTATAATTTTATCTAAGTGTATATTTATGATAGATAGCTATGCCGTCAATTCTGGCACTATATCGTGAAAATGAACCAAAACGTCATTTTCTACCGATAGGGTGGACGTAAAGATCTAGCTCAACATCGATTGATTTTCCGCGAAAGCTTCCTTCCCGTTTGTGCACCACCAGACTCGCACCGGGCGCTGCGCGACTAGACACCATTATTTACACCGGGTCCTACGTATGAGTGGAAAAGGCTAACACTGGCTAACACGCATACTGGGTGCATATGGGAGTGAATTTACGAAACCTTGGCTACGTTTAATGGCAGCTACTGTAATATAAAATACAAGCGAAATAATGTAGGGCCTACCGGAGAGTCTTTTACCGCAAACTTTACCATACAATTAAGGGAGAATTGGCTGTTTTAGTCCCATGTCGCAGAAAAATTCTATCGATATGCTACGAACAAAGCAAGGAAAAGAGCATTGTCCCCCTAAAGGCAAGACAATCAGGAATCTAACGAAAGCGTGCCTTCCCCAGCGAAATTCGAGAGAAAAGGCGCGCACAACCGGTCCAAGGTCGGCAATCGGTTGACTCACGAGGACATATGATCAAACAAAGCGCAGCTTTCCGGGGCCATACCCTGGGACGGGCTCCCCGACACTTGCCCCCACGACACTTGCGCCCCGCAGTTGACTATGGAACCCGGACGCAAGTGTCGGGGCGCAAGTGTCGCGGTCCGAACAGACGGGGTGCAAGTGTCGGGGGGCAAATGGTCTGGGCGCAAATGTCGTGGCACCCCTGGGACGAGGTGATGCTTGGTTAGCAAAAGCAGGAAAGAAATATCTCATTACCTGGAGAGGTGACAAAGTTCAAAAGAGATACTTTCACTTTTCACTCTACACTTTTTCGGGGTAGTGACTTTACCCCACCGTCTAGAATGGATGAAAACAGGCCAAAACCCAACATTTTATGATTGTAGGACAAAAGTTTTTTGAAATTTATGGCTTTTCGGAAACTAATAAAAACTCTTTTAAAATAAACTGTATCTGGCATTTTAAAGAAAAGTTGGCGACCGCCCCCGAACACCTGGAAGCACGAAATTTCGGTATCTGATCAGCGACACTCATATCTCAAATGGTTCGGCAGGTTGGAGCTGATGCGTTCGGATCAGCTGAAGAAAATGTTCGGAAACGCTTCTGGCTCCAAACTTTTTCGTTGAGAGTTCAATGGTTCGGTAAACGGTCACGCCCATGACCCCAAATCCATGGTTACATAGGTCAAAATGTGCAGAATTTCACGTAGATAGATCCGTAGTAAAAACTTTTCGGAAATATTGCTGTCTCGAGATGTTTCTAGATGGAAAGATGGGAGGATTTCTAATTGTGAAAAGCGTCTCCTCTGGGCTACGTATGACACCAAAAGACAGTCAACCACAAGGTGGAAAATTTACGGTTGAGGGACCATCACATTTCCGCCAATTTGAGGTCAAAAACATACAAAACCTCCCAAATTAAGGATCTCTTTGTGTTTTTGGTATAAATAAATTCAATTAACCTAGGTACAGGCCAGTAGAGAACACATTACCATGCGGAAGGGCTATTTTGGGCATCATATCGGGATTTTTATCCCATCCGGCGCAAAATCTGATTTTCAACAAAGATCCATCTTATTTGTTATTTTTTCTGTAATATCAAGATCCTCGCAAGAAGAAAAAAATTTTTAGGACTATTACAAGCATGGAACAGCGTATTTTACAAGCATCTTGGCCGTTCACGGAAATGTCATGGTCCCGGTTTGAGGGTTCGCATATGCGCACTGTCGGTCGGGACCGCCTTTTTCTTTTACGATTTTTATTCCTCAAAACCCCTCCCCGATATTTCTGAATCAACCAAGATTTCTATATATTCTTTCTTTTTCACCGTTATTCCCCTTATCAACCATGTTCATGGTGAAATCCATTCTTATTCATGTTTCAGATGACGCCGTCGGATGTTCTAGCTGGTCTGTTCCCTACTTGTCCTGTCACCGACTGCGGGGTGTTGTATGACTCTCGGTAGCTACATTTAGCAGGATTTCATTCTTTTCCTAGACTCCACCAGCCCATGATGTTGACCTGTACGCATACCGTCTGCCAAGTATGCATGCTCAAGGAGGAGTTCGTGAAGAAGAAGAAGTGCCCGCTTTGCCTGCAGAAATACAAGACATTCGTGCTGAACGCCGCTTTGCTCAGTATTTTGCACTAATTGATACAAATTAGTTTTTTCAGCCGCCGTCGAGCAGATGACGCTGCGACGTGACACGTTGGATAACATGTCAAGGTTCGGTATCTATATATAGTTATATTTTCCCATTCCTCAGGCCCTGTGATGACTGCAACAAAAGATGGCCACTCGGGCAGATGCGACGTTGCCGAACCTGTGAGGATCATGCTATGCGCGACGGGGCCATTCCGAATGCGAATGCGGCTGCTTGCTTTGTATGTCTGGGATGTGCAGTCGATCGTCATTCCGGCCACACGCTTCCGCAGATCATTGACCGCGATGGCAGAGGTACTCTGAGGTTGAATAACTTTTTTTGATTTTTTACCTGTGTTTTAGGGTGCCATCGATAAAGTTCCCACCGCCGCCGCAACACACTCCCGAAGAAGAGGCCCGGAAACAGTCGACAACCTTTCCGGCTAGGTGCGTTTTTTCAGGTGTATCCAATTTCTCAAGCTGACCTCCGAATATCGGATCTTTTAGGATCCGTCCAGTGGACACTCCGAAGAAACGATCGTCGTTTGGCGCTCTTTTTGGAGCGAATAGCTTCTTCTCTCCGGAAAAGTCAAAAGTCGACGTGTCGCCAAAGGAAACCGAGAAACAAGGTTCAATTCCACTGTTTTCACTGAAAATGATTTTGCAGAGCAATCGTTGCCACACAAAACACAAGTCCCTTATGGCGCCACGACAATTCGCCGGGTCCAGCGTGTCCCCTCGAAGGTATCCTAAAGCGGCGGCTTGCGTAGCTTCTCTAGGCGCCTCAACCCAACGAGGAAGTGGGTCCTTCGAAGAAGTATTCGGGCGCTTACACGTATGGATATAGCGGATTTGGTGACGGACATCAAGTGTCTGGTATTTTGTCGATCACGTCTATAATGTTGGTTTAGAAGCTTCCTCGCGAACCGCTTATTCGAATGGTTCGGTGACGGTCGGAACCACTTCCGAGCAAACCGACTCCAAATCGATATATGGAAGGCGCCCACTGCCAAGTATGATTTTAAAGCTCTAACCAACTCTTATTCTTAGCAATCCCTCAGCAACTGACCCGCATCACGGAAACCGTTGGCGTTCGAAGCTACATGCGCAAGAAAGCGACGTCGGAATATTAATCGTGCCTGCTCCGTGGCGTGGATTGATCTCGAATGTTATACTAGTCATTCCCTGCAATTTTACGGGCAATGTATTTGTTGATGATATTTAGTTGTTCGTATAAAGCCGTTTGTTTTAATATTCTCACGGATCGCACGTTTCGGGATTGCCAGAATTTCGGGCTCTGAGAGTCTTCTCGGAGGTATCGAACTATCGGAAAGTCAAATCTCTCATGCGAAGGTCAAATTCAGTGCCCAAGGCCCGCAAAGGGGTTTTGGGCGCTGTTGCATATATAGGTTTCTTCTAGAAGCGTAACCGGGAGTGGCGGCGTTGCGAGGACCCCTGCGAAAAACGTCGATGTAAAACAGCAGAATGCCTAAAAAAGTCGTCTACCACTATGCCTTCTTACAGGTTCCTCTATTTGGTATCAAGATGCTTTTGGTTCAGATTTTCTCTCTTCTCGTCAGCACGATGTTCCTTTTATGCGACATGGGGAGGTTCCGAAATGGCTCGATCTCGGTATTTTTATATCCTTGCCCGTTCTAATGCTTTAGATATTCTTCTTGAACGTCTTGTCTGAATTTGCCGTGGCAAACGTTCTGGCAATAAGCGTCTATTTCAGCTTGCAACCGAATCGTAGGCACTTTTATTGCAATTAATGTGTTTAAATAGTGTCGTGGCTATTACTGCTCTACTTTCATCTCGTTCTATCGTTCGGATGTCTCAATTCATTCGTCATCTCCACCATCAATCAGTCGAAATCCTGCATCATCGAATGGTCAGCTGCTGTGTTTGTAACAGGCAATTAGATTTTTTTAGGATCGCTCTGCTCCCAGATACGGAAAAAGTACCCGGTTTGGAAAGAAGCTGTTTGATGGAGACAGCTGCTTTTTCGACATGGATACTGCATGTGCTCCGGGGAATTTGCTGCATAGTACGATTTATCCACTTCCAATCAGTTTTTAGATTGGCCTGTACAACAATATGGAAGCTGCAGTGGAAGATTCGGAGCATGTTACGACACCAGGATCCTCCATAAATGTATTGGCGATTGAAGAAGCTCATAGATTGGATGAAGAGCGTGTGGTAGCTTCTAGAGATGGGGTAATCGGAAATTGACGTTTTTCTATACTATATTTTCAGGCACAAGACGACCTTGAGTTTCCTTCGATGAGAACGGCTTCGCCCTTTTATCCTGCGCTTCCCCGAGCTGAAATCAATCAATCGGATCACCGACCATCTAATTGCGTGAAGCCCAGCGGACAGGTTAGTGCACGCTTGACCCTCTCTACTTTGCACGCCTCTCAGGTTCATATGGCTTCCCTCGTGATGCCGATCAACAAGACGCATAGCATGAATGACAGTGAACTGCGGCAATGGCGGGCCGGCATTGCGGGCTTCAACTCTAATAAAGTACTGGGTGGTCAGCGTCGTGCACCCGAAGAAGGCAATCAAAAGCTGCAGCAGGTTATGGACATTTTTTAGAAATTTACAAGTTAGCTTGTAAATTTTTTTTAGCTAACTCACAGCGAAGTGAAGAATACTTGGATCATCTAATAATTATTCTGCGATGAACAGTCGTTACTAAATTACCTGCTGACTGTCGGCCTATATGACGTTAATAAATGTTCGAACGATCCGATCTCCGCTTCTCACGGGTTATGCAGTGCCATACGATTTCTATCGGACCGAGGCTACATCTCAGGCGCTGTTCTTAGGTCAAATCAGCTCGGGAAACGCGATGTCAGCCGTTAACTCTTCGTTTGAGTTGGTGAAATGTTTCTTTCAATGGCTTGTTTAGTGGATTTTCTGGTACACCACCATTGCTCAGCCCGCCTCGAGCTCAAGGACATGAAGCGGTACGTCTCGTTATTCAATTATTATGAGGTTCCTGCATGTTCTTGTAACTTCGCAGGAACATGATGTGTTGTCAAATGTTTTGCAAAGGCTACGGGCACAATTTAGGAAGGCACTCGAGATTCATCATGCTTCACGCCGCCAGTTGCACACGCCAATGATGATGTGTTTGGCGCCCTTTCCAGGCCACTGAAGATGAAGTTAGATTTTTAGACATTTGAAAACATTCGTTTGGGTGCACGCGCTGTCCACGACTATTCGAAAGCCTAGATGGAATGCAGCAGCATATCGAGGAAGACCATGGGACGGGTATTTGTCGTTGTCTTTTCTAAAACTTGAATTTAGTGGTCTCTATATCCTGTAAGAATTGCAACCATAGTTTCCCCAACAGCTATACGTATCGAAGCCACGTGGATCATTGTAAACTTGGAACCAATGTGGGCCCTATGGTCCGATTATAACTTGTTTTTAGAAAAATAAATTGAAGCGCATTTCGCCCATCACAACTATGAGGAACCGGGACCCGCTCCCGGACATCGCTGCCGGGAGGATGCTTTGCGTCCATTGCGAGGTTCGGCAGCTTTCTCTGGTTGGGGGGGACTTTGGGTACCTATTAGGAGATGCTTTTTTATGGCTTTTTCGAGTCTTTCTGGGGAAGTTTTTTTACGCTGAGTGGGATTAGAGTCGCAACAGCATCCCAAACCGTTGGGTTTATCCAGAAAAACTGCGTAAAAATTTATTAATAAAAAGTTGTACTTATGCACAATTTGAGGCTTGCTGCATTCTCAGGCAAAGTGGGCCGTCGCTTCGGATGGGCTGCCGCTCCACTCTTCCGAAATCGGGGCGCCTAGGCGCTTCGCGCTCCTCAGGCGCCCCGATTTCGAAACCCTGTACGAGCTCGCACCCATCCGAAGCGACTAGGCCCCCGGTGGCACGAAGCCTTATTTTTAGGTCAATACCGAATGTCTGCATCTCTAACGCTTAACAAACGTTTAGATAATGATGTTTTACTACTCTGATTTTGCTATATTTGGAACCAGCACAAAAAACTAGCCTAGAAAGACTCAAAAAGTCGAAAACCCAAGTGCCCCCCCCAACCAGTATAGTGCCCGTTTTTTTAGGAAGGCTTCACTTCGAAGGAAGCCATTGAACGTCATCACTTGAAGCACCACGCAATCTGCTTGCGCTTTGGTAACTCGCTTTCTTGATAGTAGCCCGAATTTCGGTGACCTTTGCTACACGGCGAGCACGAGACGTTTTGTGTGTCGCGAGTGAGTTTATCAATATTTTCTAGCGACTTTTCTTGCAATACTGAGACAAATAGGAGCAGCGTTATGTACTGAAAACTTGAAATTCGCGTCTGTCAATTTTTTTGGTGCAATGGAACATCCGTTACTTGCCAATTTTGACAGTCCTTCCAGCTCCAGCTGCGGTTACATGGAGTTTAACGGATGGCAGAAACTAATCAGCCATTACAGAACACAACATGGGGTAACAATTTTTTAATTTCCTTCATGGAGGCCTTTCTAGGAACCTGCTGTGCAAACAAGGCGTGTGTTACTTGAGGGCAACGTCTCCGCCGTTACTCAACTCATGGTACCTTTTTCTTTAGTATCAATTTTTTTTCTATAGCAGTCCCAACCGAGAATCGTTTTCCCGCGAACGGATCTATCTGCCCCCCGGCAATATAGCGGGTAAGCTTCTTACTTACTGGGCCGCATTCGGGCGTCGCTCGAATCGTTTTCGATAAATTCCTTCGTTTCCAGAAGCCGTGCGACGCGTCTTCAGAAGACGACCCCATTCACTCTAAAGTGACGACTCTATTAATAACGAAATTCACTTTAGAAAGAAATCGACATTCGATCGGCAATTTCCCGTTATCGTGCCGCGCAATACTCATCCGGTTATTTAACTAACCCGAATCATTTTCTTTAGAGGAAATCGTTGCTCACTCCTGGCAAGCGCGCTACTGAATTGGAGTCAACAAGTCTAGGATCTGCTGTTGCCAGTAGCTCTGCATCTTTTGAGGATCATTCCGTTCGGCCGCACGAAATACAGGATGTAAGGTGTTTTCTCCGTTTCCAGTTATCTGTCAGAGCAATCTAACCCTTTCTGTTGTTCCAGGAAGCCTTCGATTCTCCGCTCGACGATTTCTTCGTGCCGGAAAACAGCGTCTCTTTCACCCCTATAGACCAGACACCAATCGTCGGCCGCAGTGTAAGGAAATTTCCATTTTCTTACGTTCGTTCTTTAGGTCGGCATTCACGGCACCACGACAATCCATCGCCTGCCAGGCGGATTTTGGATCAATCCGGCCTCCGCAGCCGAGCCTATCGACGTATGGGACGATTTTGATGTGATATCTCAAGTTGCGCGCGGTAGATTCTGAAAGCTTGCGGGTATTTTATTTCAGAAACCGATTCCGAGGCGGCAATCGAATGGGACTCCGAATTCTGGGAGCAAAGTAGCACGGTCGAAATTGGCCCGAACGAGCATCCGGTTGGCCTCAAGCCAAATGAACAATACGACGTCAATAATAGTGCGGTTGGTCTTTCGGTTAGAGCCATTAAACAGCTTTTAGGCAGTCCGGGAACTTCTGGCCCTATCCCGCGAAATGGCAGATGAAGAGGACATGACACTTCATTAGCCATGCCGCTATTAACCCTTCTTGCTTCCCGCATCGTTGTTATTTTTCCATTTTGATCTTAATTCAGAATTTATTGTTGCGTATTACGCATTTTTCCAGATAAATGAGTTGTTAAAAGCCAAGTGCCTTCATGTCTGCCGGTGTGAGAGTCCGTTTCCGGACGCGGTCTTTTCTAGTCGGCAGGGACTCGGCGCGTTTTGTCCGCTGTCGGCCCTAAGCTTGTAATTGGGGCGTTATTGAGAAAAATACCAATACAGAATTGGTGACTTCCAGGTCGGCCGCCTCGACGACACCATCAAGTCGTCCAAATTTGCGACGCACCTCCCCGGGTGCTTTGATGCCGAGGACGGCAACTGACAGTAAAGCGGACAATGTGGGGGCTGATTGGATCGGTGTCTCATCGCGCGGCCAGATCGAAGCGATGAATTGGGTGATGGCAAATACTGTGGAGGAGACGAGACCGCCGAGCTAAAAGCTTCTGCTTCACCTTATCTTCCATCCATTTCCCTACCAAGCATAGGGCCAATCCGGCTACCGGTCCTCCATCTTCATCGACGCCCATCATTGGTGCTCCACAGGAATGCGATTTGTCTTTCCACCTAAACGAGTCACCTATAGAGTTTCACTGACAATTCGGTAAAGATTGCATATGGGTGGAAACTGATTTTGTATATTCAAAGGTTATATTGCTTTGGCCTAGGCTAGAGTGAGGGAGGCCTAGGCTTGCCTAGGCTTCCTCGGGCTTTTTTAATTTGCATCGCCTAGGCTGAGCCTGGGCTATGCAAAGTACGCCTGACCTCTAATTAGTCAGGCTTTATCTGCAAATTTTATGTAAAGTCGTAGGATATTCGAAGTTTTGCCGAACAAATAAGGAATTTTTTTAAACTTCCGGGGGGTCGATGAGCTGTATTGGGTTCAAGAATATTCTACAAAGTTAGGTTACCGTTTTTGACAAACCTTACGGCACGATACGTTAATAGCACGCGGATACATAAAAAGTCAAGAGTCGGATCGAACGGGCGAGGGATGCAATTGGCTCTCCTGATATCTTGCCTATATGTTTCCCACCTTCGGCATCCTTGTAATTTGTTATTTCGACAAAAGATACCAAGGTTTTAGATGCAATAACCGGATTAACATGTTTACACGCATTGCATAAAAAGCCTGAGTAAATCCTTAGGCTTCCGCCAGGCGTCCGCAGGCGCGGAAATGCAATTCGGCCCAAGAAAGCCTGAGGAGGCCTGCCGCTCCCTCACTCTAGCAACAAATGAAAAACGCTTCTTCTGCCGCATATATAGGCTACCGCCACTTCCGGCGTATGCTAATTTTTCCTAACAAGGCGAACCGCCGAGGTTTTAAAAAAAACTTGAATTTAATATCGAAAATAGCGCTTTCCCAAAATACGATGTGTGTGCAGTCACCGCAAGTCCATTACGCACCCAATGACATATCAAACATCCCTTATGTACCTCCTCGATTGAGATACGACTGGAACATACAGACGGAAGTTGCATGCAAATGCACACACACATACGCCACTTTTTTATATATAGCAGCATTTTTGGTATAAGAAAGTAATAACCTTAAATTGAGGTAGTTCCGGCCCTAGTATCATTTTCCATGCGCTGTCCGCTGGCATGCTTCCAAAGTGGCAACGGGGAAGTACATACAAAACCAATTTCCACCCCCGTTAAGCAACCTGTTCCAGAAATTCATCACCATTTGTTTTTCAGCTCGGTGAGGATGGTCTTTTCCTGTAATCGGAGGATGGCGCGTGATATCTGTGCTCGATAGGGGGACCCTTTCGGTAGTCCGATACCGTACCCCTTCTGGTCGATCAGACCTCCCACCTAAAATTTTTCGAATTACCTTGGTATTTTTGAGTCGATTTATCTAATACTAAGAAAGATGGCAGCCGCTACCTGCGCCAGATCGCAATGTCTTTCCACGGCATACTCAAGCATCGAAGATTCCATTAAATATGCATACTCTTCGTGCTGTACCCTTGAAATGCCCTCTTTACTCGATTCTACCAGTCTTCGACCGCCTTCTTCACTCATCGATTTCCACATGCGCTCGTAGGTCTCTATCTTTGATTCCTAAAAACCCTGGTGTCAATTCTACATATTTTACTGAATCTCGATGCGCCTTAGGAAAAGCAGCTCACTTTAAAGAAAGTCATCGTCGACCCTTTCTTCAATGTACCGTAACGTATGCGAGACTGCTTCGACAAATCTTCGGCGCCTTCGATTGGGGTCTCCATGCGCCTGATAAAAAATTAGTTGGAAGTTTTTCTAACTCATTTTTACTATTCTTAGAGGTAAAAGCTATACAAATTTGTAGTGGTAAATACGAAAATATCGATTTTTCGACCAAAAGGCGCCGTTTTTGATGAAAGGTTCCAATTTTCGAACATTTTTTTAAAGTTTTCGCCAGGTTTTCTGGCTGAAATATAGTCTTATTTTACTAAAACCACGATTAACATGATGATAACATGCTTTAGTTTACTCAAACCACATGAACTTGATGCAAAATTTCACCAAAGATTTCGGTCCTCCCCCCGATAATTCGAAAGAACCGAATCATGAAATATCTACGCTTTCGATAGAATTATATACCGTTGTTAATTATTAATATTAATGCGTCATAAAAACATTCGTAAGACTTTCTTCTTCAGTCGAAAGTATTTGAAGAATGGTAAAAGAATGAACGAAAACTTACTTTTTGTACCTTTTTTAACGAATTTGACTAATTGTAAGGCTTGTGAAGGGCAAAACCAACTTTGCCGTCGCAGTTGCGGCCAGATTGGCGGTATAGGATGAAACTAGCATCAAGGCGAATAACCACCAAACCAATGACAACAGACGAGTTGACATGCCGCGGGGGACCATCGAGGACTAAACAAGTCGTTTTTCATGGCTAGGACATACCTGCTGCATCAAAGAACAGTATAGGAACCACAGAGCATCACCGAAACTGACGGATCGCCGTTGAGACGATCGTTCAATTGGCGAGATTCTGGGATTAGTGTATGCTAGGGTGAACCTACCGTTATACCTGGCCAACATCCACAGTGTAAGCGCTGTCGCCAAGTAAGACAAGAGAAGCAGCAGCCATACCGGGCCAGCCAACGGGCCCAGAAAGGCGAGAACCGAAGATGGAGCGATGAGACGGCGCTGAACAACTTCCCTTTTTCGGGCACGCTTTTATATCCGACCTTGAAGAGGATGGCGATACCGAGATGCATGTAGGGGACGGAAAAGTCAATGACTTCCGAACGGGAATAAGTGATAGTAAGTGCTGAAACGGCCAAGTCGGCCTCCTTAAAAGGTTTTTGGCTCGCAAATAACATAAAAAATGACCCCGCGCAGCAGTTCGCCAACGAGACCAGTCCATTGCCCGGTAGCTTCGCGGGCCCCGTAGGTTTTGTCGCGGACCTAGAAGCGTTAACCAGGGTCAGTTGAGTTGCCGGTTCTTTGGCATTATCGGGGGGGGGGGTGTATGAGTCTAGAAATGCATAGTAAGTCAATAGAAAGTGTTTTAATGATGCGTTTAGTAATCGATGACTATATTTCGACTAGAAAAACTTTCTAAAGCTTTAAAAAATGTTAAAGAAAGCCGAAATTTTGGTCAAAAATCGATATTTTCGATATTTTTTAATAAAGTTGTTCGATAAGTGTTAACCTTTAGGAATAGCAAGAAGACAGAGCTCTACTCCACAATCTATGTTTGAAAAATTAGATCCTCAGTAAAAAATTGGTTCCCCCACTCGATTATGCGAAAGAACCGAGTTGCCTACCGTACCTCATGGATTTTATATGTAAAGTTGAGGGCGGAGGAAAGCATGGCCAGCAGCTCAATGCTGTATCCAGTGTAACGATCATTACCTTCCAGCTTCTCTGCTCCGTGTTTTAACATCACGAACGGTTCCTCCTAGCAAAACATTGCCCACTCCGGGTTTTATCAACCCACCAGGTAGATGGCCACTTTCAATATGCTTCCTTCTAATTTCTGTGTACTCATGTTCCGTGGATTGAGGGATTCGACAGGGTGGTATTCCCTTGACGACCAGAACCAGCTTGCCCTTTTCTGTAAAGTCGAAGTTCCGACGCATTCAAAATAAGGCGAGGAATCACAACTTGTGATCGTTAAGAATAATGAAAGATGCTAAGAGCGCCCTCACTTTCCAAATGCCTTCTTTTCTCAGCATAAAATCGATGGTTTTGGATTCTGAGGCCGAAGTGGTGTTCTGCAATTTTTTAGTATAAGTAAGTCCTATTCGAAAAAACCTTAAGAATGTGAGCACGAATTGCTTCTCCTTCCGCCCATTGTTGTTTTCTGCAGCTGGGTCCCTTCTGGGGCAAAATATAGTTTTCGGCATCGCGTAGCAAGGTCTGTACATGAGCCAGTGAGTCCTGGCCGACGGTATCGGTCCAGAGGTGTGTAACGTTGCACACCGTCCGAAAATCGTCCGGCAGCGGGTCCTAAAAAAATTGCTACGGGACCTACTTTGTCTATATCTTGTCTTTATCTTGTCTTTACGACTAACCAATGATGCGAGAAGAATGGAATGGAAGCCGGTGCACCAGCCTTGGGACTCGAAAAGTTGGAATAGCAGCTGTGCCGTCTACAACAGGGTTATGGACAGCATCATTCCGTTACGTGGATTGGTAACCAAAAGACAAATTTGGTGCTGCCAAATAGGTGAGGTGGGCTGCGATGGGAGCGCTCATCAAATTGATAGAAACTAAAACGTTCTCGATTTCTGGCCACCACTCACATTGTCGTGTAAAACGGATAAATGTGGCCATCGGAACTAAAGCTGAGAACTGCCTGCAGATCTAAAGTTTCATTTTAAGACTGTCGTTAATTACGTCGAATTCAAAGCGTCATTGAACAATTTCCCTTTTTAAAATTCGGTTGAATTTCGGCGTTTTAAAATTCAAAGCGTCGAAAAGCGCCAACCTGCGACGTCAGAGTAGAAGACAACGATCCTGCGCCACCGTTCGTGGTGGGCCTACAAGAGAAAAAGTGTGGAGACAATTGTCGCGAAGCCTAACCATCGAGGAAATGGCGCCCGGTAAATTTTGCGCAGAACTGCCGAGAAAGACTGCCCACCGCCGATTCAACAGTCGTCGTTTAGGCCATGACGAGCCGATTGAAGAAATGCTATGAAGGGGACCTCATCATTCAGGCTTTTTCGCGGAACGAAAATCCGTTTGAGAAAATTCTCAGGACAACGTTATAACTAGGCAAGGATACTCACAAATCTCACCTGAACGCAGGGATGGCGCGAGAACGAGCGAATGCTGACAAAACGGCTGTAAGAAGCCGATTGTCGGATGGCAATAGTAGCGCTCGACTACCGCCCCCGATACAAGCACATACTAAAATGATAAATGCATGGTAATGCACTAAACTGACATGTCTGTAGGGATTGCCGCGAGCTGTGGCTGTCATACGAGCATAGATTCGTGTCATCCAGCGTTTGCTGGCCGCTCTGATAGTCTAACGGAACGGCTAAAATATTTGCTAAATGAACGCAATCAAGCCTTGAAGCCGGCGATTTATGTAGTTTGAAAAACAATAAAGTCCGGACGGTTTCATCGCATGCACCCCACCGATTTCAAGCGGCATCTCGACGAGCCCATTAATACATCTTATAAAGCAAAGAGCAAGAAGTCGAAGAATGCCGTTGTGTACTTTCTTATGCATCAATAAAGCGTCCGAATGTCGTATGGCTTGGCTCTGTCCTTCAATTGGCCCTAAGGCGCCGGCACCCCTTTTCGTAAGGACCAATTAGTCAGTTAGCAACTCTCGAAATCCCGTCTCTAGCCCTCACAGAGCAATAAATTATTGTGGCAAAGTAGACTAAATTTTTTTTTGCGGGTCTGGACTGTTAGCGGGGGGATTTTTAGCGGGGGAACAATTTTCTGTTCCTCTACCGATACTTACCTGTTGATCATCTAGTATGAATTTTTATGCTGTTTCAGTAGTTTTGATTGCTAGAAAGTTCTAAAAATATTTATAAAAATTTCGAAAATTCGAGATTTGTTATGTTTATTTATATTTAAAAACTATGGCAAATGCTATAAGAATGGCGCCTATATTATTATAGGGGGTAGAGAATCGCAGGAAAAATTTGGTTGCCGCCGCTAACAGTCCGTAACCTTCTTTGTCATTATGGAACAAGGCTGATGTAATCACTATCATCTAAAAAGTCAAAAAGCAAGTGTACCACAAGCTTCATATGACAAATAGAGAAACGGGTTAAAGTATTGTCATGTCAAGTGAGATATATTTGAAATTTTATTGCTAAAGGAAGAGGCTTGTATTATGCTTTCCTAAGAAGCCAGAGTGCCGGATCGTTGCGCATTGCTGGCTGAGCTGAAAACGAACATTTTGATGCTGAAAAAGCGAGCGGCTTTTAGGCTTAACCACTTTATTAAACCTTACCATCATCCGGTGCCGGTGTAGGATCTGCTGGCGGCTCACAAAGCTGGTAGAGCTCGCAGATTTCTTCTGATCGTACGTTCTCCTCTATCAATCCCTAAATCGCGCTCCTTGCTCATTAAACGTCACTAAACATACCAGAATCGCCGAGCAATTCCTCTGCAAACCGTGACAAAGCTCCGTTTGGTTTATCGGCGAGAATAGCCGCTCACATGCGTCATCCATCAAACGACAAAATTCGGTCTCGTTGTAGTTACCAGATATCCCGGATAATTCCTCTACCCAATGCCGACAAATACTACACAAGGGAGATTGATCGTGCTGCACTTGTTGACACCACTATAAACACGGCATTGAACTAACAGAAATAAACTGTATATACTCACCATCGAATAAGGCGCCAGAAAAAGGATGAAATACAGAAAGTCGCGCTGTATTCGTTGCATTTGGAACTAGTACAGTAACGGAGATCGGTGTGTATATAGAGAGGCAGTAGCCGAGGGCTCGGGGGAATTCAAGAAGCTGATAAGCGCCGTGTTTCAGGTCAACATTCTCAAACATAAATAGGCTCGTGCCCATCCCTGCCACCCGGGTCAGCGTCATTCTGCGGCGCCAGACAGAGCAATGTTTTTTTTATGGGACTAAACATGTTTTGTATTTTCCCGAACATAAATTCCGACCCTGTGACCTCCTGGATTACCCCGCGTTCGCGAATTCCGAAGCGCAGTAAAACGGCTTCAAGTAACATCGTTGATTTATTGAGATCGTGACAAGGTGGCATTATGCAGGGCAAGCAACATAAAATTCTAGAATATATGAAAACATCACACAAATTTGACGCCTAGAAGCGCAACCGGAAAAGACAAGCCAAGGTAGAGAGCAGAAGTAAGGATATGTCCTTTCACTAATCCTCCCGTGCGGTTCCAGCCAAAAATTTCTTGCAGCGGGCGGCACCACATCTGAAACAAATGTTCAAGGAAGAGACGGCGTCAAACTCACAGGCATCGCATAAAGCATCCGTTTTCGCCCAACGGCTCGAGGACATTTGGTTGGAAGTCACAAGTGAGCTCCTCACCTGAAATGCCTTCGGTATTAATTACTTTGTTAACAAATGAAATGTGATATCCCGTCTAAAAACGTTAAAAATTACCGGGTTGGATGGTTCGGATGGCGATGAAGGCCACTTTCGCGTTGTAGGCACCATGGCGATCCCAAAGAACGTATTGTGTGACAACGTTCGGGTCGCATGAGTGATTGATAAACCTGAAACACGATGTCATTTTAGACATTTTAGGCCTACCTCATCGCATTACCATAATGCATTGCGTCAACGACCAGTCGTTCCTCTCCGAGAGCCGCATGGCCTTTCATTAGATAATGCTGGTAAATTGTGCCCCGCGTGGGTTCGTCGGCTTCTTCTGCAGTCAGCACCTGAAATTTTGTCATCGGTAAATAGAAATTAGGAAAAATATCAATACGAAATAAAAACTTACCTCGCCTACATATTCCCCAACAAAGGCGCCTTTTGGGATTCTGACTGGAGTGCGGATGCCGTATCCCTTGCGCCCCTCGTAGAACAGTATCAAAGGAATCGGGCGCCCATCCTGGAAGATAGAATAGTTGTTCAGAAAATGGGTAATTACATCGGTGAGGACTCGTTGCGTGCAGTTGTCTCGATTACATCTACAATCCGGCCCACACTGCAGGATTGGGGTGTAATCGATGCTCTCGACGATGCGGAATACCGGATCGGAGTCAATTGGCTTGAAAGCGATGCCATCAGAAGCCTGTACAAGAAAAGGTGACGGTCGGGACATATGACCAACCTTTAGACAACATGCCGTTGCTTTTGAGCTACACCCGTCGGTGCAGACGCAGAGCGGCGCGTGGTATTCCTCTGCTAGAGCTTTGAGCGCAGCCGACGCACGGGCCGACGTGATATTCTCGGTAATGTACTGAAACAGGGTTGAGCTATTCGAGAGTTTTGAGAGCGGAATTGATAGACATTTACGTCCATTGATACATCAAACGATCTACCTGAAAGCTTGACGGCATGTCAAAGCGCTCCGCCACAGACCAATTCTCAACCCAAATCGGAGGCAACCCAGCTGCATTTAACGCCTCGTTGTACAGTCCCTCAATCTGCAGCAGTTTCCAAGTACTCTTTGTCTCGGCTCGCATCAAATTCCACGCCTTCATATCCGTTGTAAACTCGAATTTTTTCAAACTAAATTAAACGGGTAATCGTAAGCTATTCGTTACTTTATTTTTTGATCGTCAGTAAGATGATCCATAACATGGCGCAACGCTTGAGTACGTAGCCGAAAGCGTTCGCACTGGAGGGTTGATGGATTTTAACATCGTAAACGGGGATTACCAGTAAGGGGGCCGTGCGTCTAACGGTCTTCGCCAGTTGCCAAGTCGAATCGGCAGCCTTCCAGTTTTTCCAGTGCAAAAGATAGTGGCTTGCTCCCGAACTATCGGTAGCTTCGGCTACAATGTGGTCCACCTGTAAATGGCCGTTGATAAAATTGTTATCATAGAATTTAACGGTTCTTGAAGCGACACAAAGAACAGAGTCTTGGTACAGCTGTATGGCGCCAACCTCATATTCCTCCGCTCCTCCCGTTTGATCAATGGAAAGTGGTTGCGGTCGCTCCGCTGTTTCGCCAACTTCTTCCAATAGCACCCAAGGTTCACAACCGGGGTCCGCTAATTTCCAGGCCTGGCCCTTAGCGAATTTCCAGCTTTCAAGATCATCAGCTTCGCATTGCGTCAATTTCCTGGAAGAACGTTAAGATGAAATGGTATCCTCCCACTTTAGAAAATCTTCTCTCCGATGACCGCCTGCATAATAAGCAGGGCCCGTTCTCACCCATGCTGTCGGTATTTCATTATGCTGCAAAGCTTTATGCCACAATTTAGCAATTCACCTCGAGGCCTCGAATCGCCCCAGGGAGGTTTGCTGTCTTGCTTTCGGGGCCATTCGATGACACGTTGCTGGATATTGTTACGGCAGAGGAGATCGAGCTAGTGGAGCGACGTCTGCGTCGGTATGGCCTAAATGGGTTTCAAATTGTGTTTGGAAGGCGGCTCTCACTTCTGAATCGTAAAATTTTGTAGCTGCCCAAGGGTTTTTCTTAGCGTCATAGGGCGGTCTCGCGGTGTTGGTACCATCGTGTAGTATTAATAATGCTGCTAGCAAAAATAATGGCCGGTATACTGAGGAAGAGCTTGCTGAGGCAAAGGGGAAGCAGTGGCCAATGAAATGGCACTGTAAGAATCCGCCTGGGGTTCGAAGGCGGGGACGCGGCGGCCTTTTCTGTGTTAGGTGTAGGCCTTCGTACTCCCCCGGCCATTATCACGCGATAAGTGATTAGGGCTTCTCACGAATACTGAAAACCTCAACAACAAGCCCATAAAAGTTATATTGAAAACTTAAGGCTGGTGTGTAAAGATGCTAGTCGATGACATTTTCGGGGTCCGGAATTTGACTCTGCTAGATGGCTACAGTAACCCGTGCCAGCACCCCAAAACCAAACCCATGTTCACTTAAAAACGACGGATTAAATTTTATCGACTTGCGCTTTCTATCAATTTTAGTGAATTAAACCAACCAGTTAAACATCATGATGTTCAACAACATTGCAGGTGGCGGATGTGAAGAGGATCCAGCACCGTACTTAGGGGATGAGCCATGTGGTCCCCATGTATTCCTTCTTATGTCGGACCCTACAATTCCTGCTCTTCTTGTCGATATTCTGTTCATCGTTAGCCGGGCCGGTGACCAAATGTCCGGAAAAGTGTCATTGTTTCAAGAGAAATGTGAGTTTTTTGAGCGGCGCCATCCATCATCCTGAATCAGGCCAGGCCAATTAATAATTTCAGTTGGATTGTTCGAGTCGTGGGCTACGCGATGTTCCATACGGCATTCCCAAAGCTACCCTTCACTTGTGGGTCTTTCCTTTCACCATATTATTTTTGTAGAGATCTCAGCAACAACGATCTCTCGGAGCTCGATGTAACGCGGTTCACCCATTTGCGCCGACTTTCCACACTGTAAGTCGAGAAAATAATAGGAATTTGACATTTCGCAATATGTTATGCGGCTCCTTTTTCAGCGATTTGTCGAACAACCGCCTAAGCACATCAAGCGTCGAACGAGGCCTTGTCGTACTCGGAAAACTGACTGTTCTGTAGAGTCTTTTTTCATTTGGTGGGTTAAACCAATTTCTAGCGACCTCCGGAGGAACCTAATTGACAGAATACCTGCAAATCTGCATCTGCTTGAGAAGCTTGTTCGTTTGGAAATGTTGGTTTTACGGACACTTGCCAATGTTGCTTTCAGGAGAGGGAACAACATCTCAACGATTTCGGCCGGTGACGTGCAAATGCTGAGTATGATTCGTGAGGTCGGTGTATTGCTTAAGAGAGCACGACTATTTAGGTGGACCTATCGAAGAATCAGATCATTTCGTGGAAGTTCAGTTCGGCAGATTCCAATTTTTTGCTGGATGGAAGGCGACAACTTGTGGGGAGCCATATCGAAAGCTTGTGGGTAGATTTTCCAGCTACACATACACTCGATATGAAACCCTGATTTTTTTATTGAATTCAGAGATTTATCGTTAAATGCCATCAATCAACTACCACCGGACGCCTTTTCCAACATGGGCTTTCTGCAAAGACTTTCGTTGGCGTCGAATCGCCTCGAAAATGTCTCCTCAACGCAATGGAATGGCCTCCGTACTCTTCAGAGTTTGTTGGTTTTTAGCCCGCTATGCGTAGCTATTATGGTGTCAAAATTCAAGAGATTTGAGCGCCTTTCCAGAGACATTTCCCGTAATTCCATCGCGCACCTGCCGAGCCTGGCCTTCAACACCACCCCACAACTGACCAATCTCTCACTGGCTGAAAATAGGGCAAGTCCAGAAATTACAGCGCCATATAACACTATAGCAACTTTATACAAGCCCCTTATGGCATTGAACGTGTCAAGCACCACTTGGTGCGAGTCCTAAAAAACTAGGTACTGTTCTGGCCAAGATATCGGCGAATTATAGATTAATCGCCTGGACGACGGGGTTTTCTTCAAAGCCTACCAATTGACTACGCTCAATCTCTCTTCAAATCTCATCCATAACATTTCCGGTGGTTGGCACTACGGGCTTAGCGAGCTGCAGACACTGTTTGTGCAAAACGGTTACCCAATGAAAAATTCACTCCAGAGATCTGTCGTCGAACCGCATCGGTTGGGTCGACGCCGCGTCGTGGCAGAACGTGGCTGACCTTCGAGAGTTGCGCCTAGGTCACAATGGGTAAGAGGGATCTATCACTGGGATTCCGCTTTCCAGATTGCGTATGCTGCCATCAGGGGCTTTCAGCAGCCTGCGAAAGCTGCATACATTAGGATTGCAGGCGAACGGGCTTGAATCTTTGCATAAAACAGCACTCAGCGGGCTTGACCAGTTATGGAGGTGAGTTGCGCAGTCTCGACGAAGATTTCCACACGTTCAGCCTTGATCTATCTTCGAACGCGTTGGCGGTGTGCTTGGAGGATGGTGCGGTACTCTACAACACATCGCTACCTTTCCTCAAAGAACTTCGTTTTTCTAATAACAGCTTGAAAGCCCTGCCAGCAAGGTATCCGCTTGCATATGTTTTTTTTTTGGAAGTTCTTCTAGGGCATTTGCTCGTTTCCCAGCCCTTGAGGTCCTTGACTTACGCCATAACCCAATCGCCACAATGTTGAAGGGTTCGTTTGAGCCGTTGGCGCTGAAGACGTTGTATGTTGTGCGATATTAGCATGTCTACACAACATTTCAGTTACCTGAACACATCATCGTTGCTTTGCGACTGTAAATTAGACTGGTGGGCGGCTTGGTTGTACCAAAGTCGGCTGGACAAGTCAGCTTTGTTGTGGATTATGAACGACTTCTTTAGACGACATATAGAGACGCGGTGTTCGCATCCAGCTCCGTTGGTTGGTATCAACGTTGCGGCTCTAGATGTGGCCAATCTGACGTGTGGTAGGTTGTTCCGCCTGCTATGTGGGTAAAGATAACGATTGAAAATTCTTCGTATTCCAAGCGACCTTTCAGTTGATGACTCGCCGAGACCGCGTATAACATCCCATCCGCCCCCACAGACCAAGACGATGATCGGATCGGAAGCGCACGTCGACTGCGCTGGTTGGTGTTTCTTGTTTTATTGTTCATGATATGATTACTACAGGGTACGGTGAGGCGCCTCTGTGGCTCGAATGGCGGTTAACGGAGATTGGCGGAAAATCGCGAGTCATTTTCGAAAACAGCGATCCGCGTTTCCTATTAACTGTGACCGAGATACCTGGTAATGTGCATTGAAACATACCAAGTAATTTGGCCATAGGTGTTCAAAAAAATCAGATGGGATTGAGCGGTCAGCTGACACTGACAAACGCACAGCTCTCCGACCGCGCAGAGTATCAATGCGTTGTGCGAAACCAATTTGGCGCCGACTACAGCAATCGCACATTTCTTGAAGTGCAGCAGATTCCCGTGTTCACCAGCGAGCCCGATGATTTGGCGCTACTGGTGGGGCAGAATGCGAAGATTGCTTGCTCGGCAACAGGTGGAAAATCGTAGATGATGTGAAGCTGAAAGAGATTTTGCAGGCGTGCCCACCCCGGTCATCAAATGGCAAAAAGACGGCGGTGAATCGTTTCTGGCGGCGGCCGAACGACGGCTGCACGTCTACTCGCACGACGAGCATTTATACATTATTTCCGTTAAGGTGGCGTCTCGTTTAGACCACTATCACTATAGCTTTCAGCCAGAAGATTCGGGCGTCTACACTTGCCATGCTGTCAACGATGCAGGGCATCAACAAGCCAGCGCCACTCTTCGAATATACGGTACGCTCATCACTAACACCTACAATGATGATGATATTGTTGCGTATTTTAGACAATTACTTCCGCTCCCCGCTACAAGACCTGGAAGTGGCGGAGGGGGATACGGTGGCCCTCGATTGCACGGCGGACCTGCAGCCTGGCCAGCGCGTACAATGGATACACGAATACCCCAACGGGGATACGGTAGCTTTCCAGAAAGTGCTGTAACAGCCCCGATATTCAGGAGGTTGTATACCCGTCTACTCGACTGTCGTTGCTGGCGCGGGATCAATTGCTGCTGCTCGTCAAGGTAGGCTTCAAGGGATTTCTAGCTGGAATGCCGACATTCAAAACAAAGTATCCCAATTTGGGCTGTTACTGTCTGGACATCATCGAGTGCTATCGTTCTAGGCAACCCACAGGGATTCTGGGCGTTATTCCTGCGAACTTTGGGCTGGCGCTCATCTCCTAGCCGCTCAACGGGCTAGCATTACGGTGAGTCCCAAGCCCTGAGGATTACATCAACAAATCGAACATTGCAAATGTGAGTTTTTAGGTGTTTTCTGCAAGTGCGCCTGTAATGGAGCGGTTATTGATACGACAAGGCCACCTAAACATCACCCTTGGCCAACTGATCACCATCGTCTTTCTGGCTACGTTGCTCGGCCTGTAAGTCTTGAATTAATGACGAAAAACTTTGAATTATGCCGATGCCGTTGAACCAGTGTTGTCGTTTTTTAGAGGTTTCATCTGTTGCCTGACTATCTTTATCATCTACTATCGTCGAGCGGCTCGCGATCATCGTCGGTACAGAGCGCGCAGTTATGGCCCTGTCAACCAGCCAACAATTTGACGTCATTGTATAGTTAATGTTCATCTTCTGATCGTGTTTTTGGAGGCTTCCATACGTTTGGCTATTCTCGAAACGGACCGCCAACGCATGGATTTGTTCGATTTCGTTGGCTATGAAATCCTTAGGAAGTTTGGCGGATCGCATGTGGGCCGTAAGGGAATTGTAATCCATTACGCCATTTTATTGCGGAAACTTTGTAGGTCTGTAGATCCATCGTAAGGTTATTGCCAACAAATCATATTTTTTGCTTTCCATGAATTATCTTTGCACCAAGAAATTTTTAATGCCATCTCTGTACCTTCTCTAGTCTCGATTTGCGCTCCCTGGTTTTCATCGTCATTTTTTTGTTTCAGACGCGCTGATCTTCCATATACCCCGACCGTCATCAGTATTGATGTGTAGCCCTTTTATTCTATGCACATAACGTACTTTCCCCTGCTCGCTCCGCTCAAGTCGTCATCTACCGGTTGTTGCTGCTGCTCATCCTCTCCCTGTGATCTTCCCCTTCCCTCACTTATTCATTTGTCTTCCCAGAGCTACTCAGTTACAATTAACTTTATTAGTTCAATAAATATTATATCAAGGATATATTTAGTCTTGTAGCACCACCGGAAACGGTTGACTCGTATGTACAATGGAGGGCAAGCAATTAGACCCGCTCGCTGACATTCACATTCTCCATGCTGGGGCTCTTCTTCTTGCCGCACAATTTGGGCAGCAACTGTTCGGCTTCGACGATCTGGAAAATGTTCGGTTTAGAGGCTTGCCTACGGTTCCTTACCTCGCTAGCGGTCTTGTTTTTCGTTTCAGGCAGCCGATAGTAGAGGACGACAATCGAGACGAGAACAGGCACCACGAATAGCATCAGGTAGGCCATCGAATTGCCGAACGCATTTTTCAACGGCAAATACGTCGACAGTAATAGGGTTCGGCTGTAAGACATTCGTTAGAAAGTTTAAATTGTAAAATTATCTGCGTCACCTCACGGCAGATCCTTAAATCTGCTATCTGCTATATATAAATTTCTAATGTCCGTGCGCCCGTGCGACCGGGAATTCAGCCAAAACCTGCATTCAATTTCAAAATTCAATTTGTGGGATGGGGGGGTCAGCGCTGGTTCGCTTCTAAAATTCTATCTACCGTACCTTCCCATCTGCACGACTGAAGTCCAGGCTTGAGCTGCCGATCGAGCCTTGGTGTCGACGAGTTCGGCTGAGATGAAGTAGCAAAGAGGCCCGGGTCCCGCCGCAAAGAATAGGGTGAACACGCCGATGAGCACGACCAGCAAGATACCGTACAGGGGATCCTGAAACGATTCATTGCTATGGCTTTCGTTATCTCGTTATTAACAAATCGTTTAGTGCTGTTTAGACGAACCTTTGTGCTCACATAGGCATACATCAGAGCAACCATGGCCAAGTTTGTTAAAAGAATTCCGGCGGAAGTGATCAGAAGCAGTGGGCGACGTCCGAACCTATCGACGATCATTGCTCCAAAGAAGATGGCCAACTAAAGTGCACTTTATCTATTGATTGCCATTGAGAAATCTAAAAAGCATGAATCGGGATACTCACCAGACTGAGCAGGTTGAACCCGACGTTAGCGAGGGAGGCGTTGAGGCGATTCAGCCCGGTGTTCATCAGAATTTCGACGGCATACCCGTTGATGACAGCAATTCCCGAGAACGCCATCACAAAAGCCACCACCATGCCGACGAACACCTAAATAACGATTGTCTGATAAGTATTTCAAAGTTGTCGACAGCAATAAGTTCAGAATCTACACCTACCCGTCTCCTGAGACGCTTCCTCGACACTGCTGCGCACATTCCCACCTTTCGGGCTGACTCTTCTTGCTCATCCTAAAAAAAACGTTCATAAGCAGTTTTTAAATGTTCCTGTTACTTGCAAACCCATTTACCATAAAATCCTGAGTATAGTGCCGGTATACTTTTACAACGTACCAATACAAATCACGCTCTAATAACGTGCGTCCCCGCCCTTCCGCCGCAAAAGCTATATAACCTAGATCAATTGCCTTCATTCACGTACCCGCAATTCATCAACGAGAGCACCGGCCTCGTCTTCAGTTATCGAGTGGAAATAGGCGATGGCCTTTCGAGCGAGCTTGTGCTGGCCCCGTTTGACGAGAAAGCTAAAAGGAAAATTGTGAATTGGAGAGAATAAAAGATAAGGAGTACCTGGGGCTCTCAGATAGCATGAACATTGCCAGGAAGGGGATGGCCAGGCAGATCAGCTCGAACCCGTAGATCAACGGCCATAGCGTATCGGTGCCCAGGATCTGGGGCAGGGCAATGATCGAGCCGAATACAGTGCCTGAAATGGTGTTTAGATTAAACGGTAAGTGTATTGTTAGAGAGATAGAAAGAGAGAGCGAGAGGGAGAGAGAGAGAGAGAGAGCGTGAGAGAGAGAGAGAGAGAGAGAGAGAAGGTGAGTGAGAGTGCTACGCGGCGCGTTCGATTGTGGTAGGTTGTGGTAGTAGATATTTCATAGCCACCCACCAAGTTGCACCATCGTCCCGGTGACCATGCCGATTTTGCCGCGACAAGACTTCGGGCTGAATATTGCTGCGTAATCAATTGGGCATGGCTAGAACCTACCAGATCTCGACGAGATACATCGCGCCCAGGCCCATCGTGATGCTGATGGCGATGCCGAGGAGGAAGCGGGAGAATGTGTACAGTTCATATGAGGTGATCTAAACATTGCAGGTTGATACCGAATGAATATAATTTCAAGCCACCGAAAGAAGGTAATTTGGTGCGATTCGTGCCATTATTAGAGGTCATACAAGCTAGATTTTAGGTAACGCTTCAAATTCGAAACTTCAGTAATGAATCAGAAAAGAATTGGAAAGTAGTAGTCTAAGCCCTAGGTCCTGTAGCATCCGTTTACCACGGAGCGCTCCTAATTCCAAACCACCGGAAGGGGCGTATTTCAACCGAATTCCTAACCGTATGTGACAGAATTGAGAGTCCGACGGCGATTTGGGACAGGCACATTCCAGCCAGGAGGCCGACACGACGACCAAGTCTGAGATTTGGAGTTTAGTCAGCTGAGGGATGGGATTGGCGAGCAGAGAATTTTAGGGAACCTTCTAACCTACCTTTCAGCAATGAATCGCATCACAAACGATCCGAGAAGTGCCCCGAAGAACACAATGGCCACAATCACACTCCATAAGGTCTAAAAAGTCTTTTAAATTTTCATAGTAGGGATTGTACCTCGAGGGTCTCCTTTTCCAACCGATGTCCGTAATGGTTGTAGTGAGAATCGGAGAGAAAATCGAGGAATACCGACTAAAGTGATAAAATGATGAAAGGATACGGTAAGGATATGGTACCTGAGTCGGGTTGGTAATGACCAGCTGGAAGCCGAAATGGAATGAACCGCCGAGGGAGACGATGAAGGCAATTGGCAGGAGACGGGGTGGCATCGGGGCCGCACCCATTTCTTCTAGTTTTTTTTTCGATGATCTAAATGTAATTAGTATTGCAACTTAGTCGTAACGATACCGGCAAAAATGAAAAAAATCTAATTTGAGAGCAATGAAGTTTCTGTGAATTCATTAAATGGCTAAATGGCAAGGCCAACATTAAGATACAATAGACCGAAAGGATAGATGTACGGAGTGGATTTTTAGAATGCTGAGAACCACCGCGCTCGAAAATGCAGCCAATTTTCGCGATATTGGGACAGATTTTAGGGGTCGGCACGTACATCTCTCCACCCCTGCCCCTTATATACCATTTTGAGCGCCACCAAATATTTTTGGGAGTCGTTTTTTTCGCTGGGTTGACGATATAAGGGGGGCGTGATCAGACGATCCGACCGATCGAGTATATCGCTCAAATGGATATGGTAAACAAAGAGGTCAAAAAGAGGGTATTATTTTGGGAGAGAGAGAGAGAAGGCGTAGACCACACCGATCCATCATCAACCTTCAAAGATGCGCGCGCGAGTCTTTTTTGGGGCGACCCCAAAATATCTATCCGTGCCGCGCGGCCGGTCTTTTTGGGAACGATAAGCTGGACGGGTACTGTAGTAGGTCATACTTGAGATACATTGGTATCAAAATTCATCAAGGCAGTTAAAGACATTGTTTTTTCTGATCACTGTGCGTGCGGCAAAAAGGATTCGATTCCATTTTACACTCGCCGGGTTTTTAGGCCGCATTACGCATTGGCGGGGCCCATTTATGTATTTGTCAACCGCGAAAAGAGGCAACTCTGCCGGAATCGAGCTTTTGAATCTAGCATCTAGCCTCCACCGCATGAGGCTTCCCGCCACGATCCTTGCATTCATTAAAATCCAATATCACCGCCGCCATCCAACCTTCACCTAAAAATCTGTATTTTCTAGTCCGACCCGGGCCATTGTGTGGCAAATTTCAAGCCGGCGGGCCCGGCTTAAATATCCGTGATGGGGTTCGGTAGCTTAATCTCACGTCAACCGGCTTATCACACCCATAAATCATCACGTTTCGCCCCGGGTCCGTCACTTTGATGCAAAATTCTGGAGGGGATGGGGGTGCAGAAGGAGATATCAAAACGGCCAGCGGACCATATTTTACGATCGAGATTGTGCTTATGTACTGCGTGTACAGGGGACCGTAGATTGTTTGTGGGAGAGTAGGAAACCAAAAAAAATCAGAAATTTTTTAGCACCGAAGGCTACGTATAAATGTTGATTTTGATGCTATCACGCTCTAAAAGTGCTCTGCCGGTCATCGATTCGAAAACGAGAACAGGCCGAAATGGCTTATGGTTGAGAAATAGAAACGTTAGAATCATGCTCAAAATGTCGCGGTACTAAGCAAGGAAATTTATGGTTCGACAAACAAATGTAGCTAGAGGCACCACAACTTTTAGGTCTAAACAGCCTAACAAAAACAAGGCTTTAAGAACTAAAAAATTGTTACAAGACGTTGAAGTCAAGCAATGGGCATACCATCTCCTTCTTTTCCCCCTTTATAGACCCCCCAAATCGGGTTCCCAATGTTGTTGCCCTTTATGCTTCCGATCAGGCGGCTGGTGTTGTTTTAAATGGTAGCAAGTTTTGACTGGCTTCTCTCTCTCAACGTCTCCCTCTCCCGCTCTACCAGATTCGTCATTTTCTTCGCTGCGTATCCCTCTCTCCCTCTCTCTCCCTTTCTCTCCCCCTCAAGCTCCCAAAAGCGCACAGGGCCATCCAGGCTGATAAGGGATGACTTTTAAAGATTGCCTCCCAGTCGGGCGTGCTGTGGAGTGGGAAAAGCAGGGTTGTGCTGTGTGTGGAAAGAGCGAGAGAGAGAGAGAGAGAGAGGGGGGAGGTAGAGAGAGGGAGAAATTGGAACGCGTATCCTGTGATCCGGTCAAAAGATGGATACACTCGGATCAACAACCCCCACTGTACAATGTACACCAAAATTATTACTCATTGCACGTTTAGTTTGTGCTAGCGCGTGGCCGGAAATCGGGGCAACCTTATCGTTTAGTGGGGGCAGGGGGGAAGCCCGATTTAGCTGACCGGAACATTTAAAGGGTTCGGCAAGGCATGGGATATGGCCAGTGCCAGGCGGGTCTTTTTAAAAATCAAAAGTGGTCAAAATCTACACGTTGGCTCCGCAGCCGACCCTTAGCAAGCAGCCAATTACGGCTATTCCAAGATCGCCACCATAAACGATCGCAAAAAAGTTCATGATTTCTCGCCGTGGTTTCAGCCTTCCCAGCCCCTTTAAAGCCATCGATAATGCAGCTGGAAGCTCGGCTTTCCTGTAGAACCATTCGGCCTTTAGCCGCACCCACTACCGTATACCCATTTCGTCGCTCGGAACACAACGTGCCATGCTGCTAATTTGAGTATCCACACCCAGCAAACGCGGGGGGATTGGATACCGCTGGATACCGATCCCCCACGCGCTTGCTGACTTGCACGTTATCGTGCAGCCCCTCCCTGATACGGTGCTCCCATTTTTCTCTTTCTCTTTCTCCCCTGTGCAAATGTGTGCTTACAAAAAGGGGGGTAGCAACAGGTCCAGAAGTCACTCGAAACTACGCGAGGCGCCTATACACGGAGGTGCGGCGGCTAAGGGTGAGGGGGCTTGGAATTGTGTGTAGCTTCACCGAAAAGCTGAAGCTTTTTTGGGCGTCTGGAGGGACGGAGGCTGATAGCTTGCTTTTTCGTTTTGCCACAATGTACGCTAGTTCGATGGGCGTCTGCTGTGGTGATTGTCGGGCTTAGGCTTAGGCTTGGGATAGGCGTAGGCTTGGGTTTAGGCTTTTGAATTGGCTGAACCCGCTCCAGTCTTAGAAAAGCCAATAAAGGCATTCTAGGACCTTCTAAAAGCGCACCAAGAATTGTACTGAACGCTCTAAAATTAAAACGTAAAATCAGCTGAGGCATTTTAGTTTTTAAGAAACCGGATATTTTCTAAAACTTTGGCTCGAAACTGTCGAAAATCCAAAACTAAGAAAATCAATTAAAACCGGTTAACTTGAAAAATCTTACTATATGCTTATGCCGAACTGTCGAAACAGAAAAGTCAGAAAATTAGAGGAAACATTAGAAAGAGGAACCACGGTAGATAAAACACAAAAGATTACACCGATCACCACCACGTTCTTTTATACGGATTAGCCCCCGTCTGTCCTTTATATCGGAACGTACTATCCCCCTGTCTCCTCCAATCGAAAAGAAACTGCAAAGGACATCTTCCCCTTATGATGCTTATTTATTTTCGGGGTTATTATTTTTATTATCACAAACAAAACCCTCTCTCCTTCTGTTGATTTGATGCCCACGAATCAGGCGCACCCCATGTCCTTTCCGCACACTTTTTTTATCACCCCCACCCCCGCCAACCGATCAACAGGCGCGCCGTCCGCTAGTGAACGGGACACCTATTAGGAGTGGGGTATATGACTTATTTAAAAAACCTCGAATTTTCAGAATCTGGAAATTTCCACGGTCTGAATCGACATTAAGAGTGGCCGGAATTGGACGCTGACGTCTTACATCCAGCCTTGGCAAATGGGAGAGCCTGGTAAACCTATCTCTAAAGCTATTTTCAGATTTGAATCGTGATTTACCGGAAGTGCTGAAGATCTGTCCATCCAGAAGCCCATTTAAGAAATTTTGACTATAGACGGTTGGAATCGCCATAGTCGAAAACCTAGGGGTATCCGCGAGTGTTTTTCCTAACTCCACCGTGCCAACTTGAGGTTCCCTTGTAAGTCTATCCGATCCTAATCCTCATCTAGCGATGAGCTTTGTGTGAGTTTTGGTTGTCGTTAATTTGTAATACACCGACGGCACGATGTTTCTACAAGTCGACGACCATCACGACGAACTTCAACTCGTTTTGCCGCGTCACATCTAGTCGGCTGAAAATCTCGATTTTACTTTTCCGAGCCCCTTTAGCCGTGAACACAGCTGAAAATCTGTGAACCAGCTAACAACAGTGGTTCAACAACATCAAGTAAATGCAACGATTGCGAACCAGTTGATTGGGTGACAGTTGAAGTGTAGAGGAGTCACACTCCCGCCCGTCTCAACCAAATAAAAGCCGCACCGGTAGTGCTGGGGTGGTTTTGGTGATCAAGAAGATGTTATCCTCTAGGACTGCAGCCCAGGCATCGTTTGTCTTTTCGCTATTCGCTATCACGGCGGTTATCGTTTTTCTGCCATCACTTCACCGGAAAATAGACCGAATTCGAGCACATGTCGATGAGGTAAGAGGAGCATCTCTTGTGCGTGTGCGGTCTCTTGTGCACCAGAAAGGCACTGAATTACAAATTCCAAAAAGGAAAAATTGAATACCTTTCAGGAAATGCTGGACTTCAACCGATTACAGGGGCATATTTGGAAGAAAATTGAAGGAAGCGGCAAGGTATTGGTGTCTCGCGAAAAGAGACAAGCACCCGGACAATGTTTCTGCGATTCGAGCAGTCGATGCAAACCCGGACCGCCTGGTCCGCCCGGGCCACGGGGAACTGTGAGGGTTTTGGTGCCCTTTTATTGATCTACTAAATCAGGACGGCGCACCCGGGGAGCCGGGTCAGCGTGGCGCTCAAGGAATGGCTGGCAACATGCCAAAATGTGCGATAAATGTAGAGGAAGACTGTAGGTTAGTCACAACCCTGGATTCTGGGTTAAGCGACGGTTTAGAATCTGCCCGAATGGACCGGGGGGTCCGCCGGGACCTCCTGGACAACCTGGACCACTCGGAGAAAATGGACCTGCAGGACCTGGGGGCCATTCGGGTGCAGGGGGTCCACTAGGACCCAGCGGTCAGAAGGGAAACCCCGGAAAAGACGGGGGACCGGGCAAGAATGGACGGGTGAGTAGATGTTAAAGGTAGTCACGGTTACTTCTGGAAATGCCCATCCCTTTAAAGTATTATGGAGTATCTATTTTGACAACTAGTAGATTTCAAAAAGATTATTGAAATAATCACACAATTTTTAGCCAGGCGGACGTGGTCAGGACGCAACGAGCGGAGGACGCGGTCGTCCTGGTCCAAAAGGCGATCGTGGCACACCCGGATCTCCAGGTAAACGGGAGTTCTTTCAGACGAATTTCTTTCAATTTCGATTCTTGCATCGTACCACCTCCTTTTCCAGGTTCACCAGGCTTCGCCGGACCCGACGGCAAGCCGGGGCAGGATGGCGAGATGGGCGAGCACGGGCCGGCGGGTCCTCCCGGTGACATGGGACATCCCGGCCCTGACGGTAGACCTGGCGTCTCGGGTGGCTCCGGTGATGATGGTTCATACTGTAAATGTCCGCCACAAAAGGCCACGCGACAATAGCCCAATAAATTGTCTGCCGATTGTAATCTAATATGGGCAAATCGCTCGGTCAGGCGATTAAAAACCATTTAAAATGACGTTGGGTCTAAATCTAACCGCTTTTCTTTCTTTTTTCATCTGACTTCATCTCGACTTGCCTAAGCTTAAGCAACATGTTTGGCTCTGTTTTTTGTAGCCTCGGAGAAAACGCGCCAAAAAATATTTTAGTTGATGGTTAGCCGAAACGTAGCCCTAAACACTCATTTCATTGCCATGCATTTCTATCGACTCCATAATCGCAAATTTTTATTTGGCAAAAAGCCAGAGAAACCAAAAAAAGATGAGAACATGTTGGAGGGGATGGGCAGTAGAAATCGGGGTATGGGATTACGGTGGCTGGGGAGAGGGGGGCAACAATTAGTTTTCGGGGCCGGCGCGCGCGAATTAGCTGCATATGTCATCCAAAATATCGCCTAGAAAAAGTGAGCGCGAGCGTTACATGGGATCTCAATTGAAACAAAATGGGGGAGGGATACGATCTAGGGGGCAGCGCTTTGAATATCGAGAGCAAATCCGAATGGCGAAAGAAGGCGGGTTTGTGATTTGGAAAGTCAATGGGGTGGTGGTCGATGGGAAGGGATTGAAGGGCTTGAAGTTTGTAGTCTTCCACATAAATGGACAAGCCGATCAAGCCAACACAAAAAAATGGAGCCTAGGTACCCAACTGAAATAAAATAATAGATAATGACGCATTTGAGAAGCTGTGGGAGAGAGAGAGAGTGAGTGAGCGATAAGAGAGCGAGTGAGAAAGAGTGCAGGCATCCCTTAAACTGGAAGAAATATTTTCCTCCGTTTTTACAGGATACCTGGCAGAAGGGATATTAGACGGATTGAGACCCGAGCGAATTGCAACACAATTCCGACACACACGAAGCTGCATCAATGAAAATGGGGTGGGGGCAGGATTTTGTTGATGGTTAGGAGAGCTAAAAGGAGCATCAAAGGGAGCACGAACACTCCATTAAGGTGCCAAAAATCGAATGGCAACCGAAAAAAACAGTTAGGAAACGTAAGGTCGTGGGACAACCGGAATATTGGATCGGGTGGTGAGGGCAGAGCGCGAGTTTTTGTAATTTCAATCCGCAAAAATTGCGCTTCAGCCTCGCAAAAACACACTCACACAAACTGTGCAGCAAAGAAACGGACACCGGGTGTGGGCAAAGGTAATTTGAATGTTTTTAAATCGGCGATCTTTTGATGGTGGAGCATGTGGCATGATGAAGACTTGGAGAAGACCCGTTAGACGAAGGTTGAGGTGGATCCGCGGGCCGGCTCGACGGGTGGAATCAACGTCCGTTGAGGGACGTATTGGCCTGGAAGAAGATGAACTGTCACCTCATAACCCAACACCATAATTAGTAAAAGATTGTTAAGGCTAAAAGTCGCATTTAAATCTTTACAAAATGATGTTTTTAATAGACTTTTGTAAGAAGTGATCCCATGTCTAATTCAGACTTGTAAACCCCGTAAGGGTGCAGTTCCCCCCCCGCTGCTGTACCTCGGCTTCCCATTGTGCTATAGATGTGTAAAGTATACCAAAATGCCCGCTTTGCTCTGGTGAGTATTTTCGTATACTTTGCAACCCTGCAGCACAATGGAGGGGAAAGATACGTCAGGAGGTGGAAGTGACTGCACTATATGCACCATATTACAGGTCTGTTTCGGTGGGTGGTATTAGTGGCAAAGTATCATGACTACTCGCCTCCATATTCAACGCCCCAAAAAATGCGCTACTCGTCTGTGATGGAGCCGGTGACCCCCGGGAATGGAATAAATTTCGCTTGGGAATTATTGGGGTGTTGGGTGAAGTGTTTGGGGGTGAACCGATTGCGCCCAGCCGGCGAATTCTCGGCAAAAAAGGGCTTGTTGAGGGGAGCGGGGGTTCGCTGAGCCTTCGCTGTCTCCGTCTACTAGCACCCATTGGGGAAATATGGGCCACGAGGGCCCGGTGGCCCCAATGCATCGCCCGACTGTGTCCACGTTGGGCTTTATGGATTGGGATGAGCTGTTGTTGTTGGTGTTGTTGTCGATGCTTACCAATGAAAGAGCCGTCTTCGGTGAATCGCCCGGGATCTGTATCCCCGTATTCGGCCATCGAGTCTGTTTCGCTTTCCGCTTTTGAGCCAGTCAAGGAGCGCTTCTCATCGTCTTCCCTGCAAAGAATTATGTTTCAGGCCGGTGGAATACTTTTTAATAAGCATATGGTTATCAAACGCACTTGTACTCTCCGAAGGATTGTTTCGGCAAGATTGGTTCTCGTCCCTGCTGTCGTTCCTTTTCGCTCACCGGGTATTGGCCACTAAATTAAAATCAAATATTTCGATCTTCGATTACCGATGTCTCATCGCGACACAAATGATGCAGCAGATAATGAGGAGGATGAGGATGATGAGGAGCAACAACAACAGAAGCCACAGCCTCGATGAAAGTGGCGTATTGCCACGGGTTGTGACGAAGATGCTCTGCGAGTAGCCATCGGATTCCACGCCCGTCGCCGGGTCCTTATAGGCAGCCACGGAACGCACTTCATATCTGCAAGGATTTTTGGAGTGAAATTTCAGCTTATGAGGGTTTTACGCTTAGTTTAAGTTTTAAGATGTGGGTAACCTGGTTGTATGCTTTTGAGTACCTACTTGGTGCCTGGTTGTAATCCATCAACAGTCGTCAGGAGACTATCGCGGTCATCTGGCTCGATCGTCTTCCACTCCTCAGTTCCATCTTCCTTGATTTGGATCTGATATGAGTTGCCGACGGGGCGACGGTCCTGAAAAAAGTAGATTCTCTCTCTCTCTCTCTCTCTCTCTCTCTCTCTCGATGGGACCGGTTTCAAATTCTCACCTTCTCATCAAAAGCCCCAGGCACAAAGCTGACGTTGAAGTGGTCATTACCGATTCGTTCCGCTCGAACATGGGGCGTTTCCGGCACAACTGAAAATGTGGATCGATTGCTGGGTTTGGTGGGGCCGAATTGGGAATGTTCCCTGGGTCTTCCCCCCTCCTGGCCACTGGCCCTCAAAATTTGGGTGTGCGTCCCATTAGGGGCGGAAATGACCCGACGTTAATTATTGATTAGAAGACGGGGGCCATGGCGGGCCATTTATCATGTGGAACCCTACGGAATATTTACCCGAGGAGGAACTGGGGGTTTTTAAAGGGACTTGGATATTGGATATGCATATTTTTAGCAGTGAGCAAAAACTCGTTGATAAATTCCAGTTTTAAGCATGGGTTCAAATTAGCCTTACCAACCGTCTTAAGCATGGTGTAGTAGTAAAATTGAGGCGTTGTGGTCTGCCTGAGTGCTCCCATCTATATTTCTTCCACTTCAATTGTCCCCCCAAAACAGCCGCAACATTCAGCGGGGGTCTCTCGGTTAGACGGCCCGCAGAAAAATGGCCCCGGGTGTCGGACCCCAATTTCACGGGAGTGTAGGGGGGGATTTAGACCGAGCTCGGCGCGGTGTCATACGTCTTGCTCCCCCACTTTTTTCGGGGGGAAAGCCCTTTTGGCGGACAGCTGATGGGGGCAGCGACTAGACTAACGAGTCGACAAACAGCAACAAATTTAGGGAAGGAGAAAGCTCGCCGAAAAGGGGTTAGACTAGCTTCCGGGGAAAATTACAGCTCTATTATTTGCCTCAGAACATATAACTATCTCGTTCTCTCTCCCTCTCTCTCTCTTTCTCTCTCCCTCTCTCTCACCAAATGCTCCTCCTATTAATGCATCCGCTCATAAAAAACCATCGATCTCAACATTGCCAAAAATACCATAACCCACATTCGGTCCCGTTGACCAAAAACGGCTTCCCAACCGAATCGCGCCGAAATTCGACATTTTGCGCAAGTGTTGGCCTTGCCGAGATTATGGCCAATATCAGCGAAACGATCGAAATCATGCCTCCGACCGTTTTGGATCGTAATAATATCTCCGCAGGACTAATAATGGTGGAATATATAGGCGAAATCTTCCGCTTTATGCAGTTTGCATGGGATTGAATATGTGGAGGTTGGGTAGATTTGAGGGGTAGTGGCTGGTGTATGGGACAAGCGGATTGTGCACAGGGGGCTTGCCGGCTAGCGCTGGCTGGTTCGAGGCTTCACTAATAGGGGCTTTGTGGGGGCGCACCTGCGGCCCGGAGACGAGCCCTCAGGGCAGTGGCCCCCGTCCACAGGATGGTCGCGTAGCGGGAGGCCGCCCCCTGGGCCCCGCCCACTTTTTGCGGTGGTGGGGGGCCCAATTGCTCAATATCGGCTGTGGCAGACAGCCCACCGGGGGTTCATTCGATGCTTGTTGGCACGTTAATGAACCTGGCGAAGCCGGCGCTCGATTGGGGGGGGGGATGTCAATTAGTGGAATAGGCCATTGTGCCAATTCGGGGCGTTGGTCGGGGTTAAAGGGGTGAGGAAGGCAACGGCAAATACGCGATGGCGCCCGCACTTGGTGAAACCTTTTGCCCAACATGCCAGCGTTCCCTCCCTGATCGCCATGGAACCAAATTTGCCGCGAGCCTTCTTTGCCCATTCCCGTTTCCTAAAACACAGACGGGGATTGGGTCGGCTGGCAAAGGGGCGAAATGTTGGCCGGCAAAGGGGATTAGTTGCGTCGATGCAAAGGAGACCCAGCAGGTCCGCTTTTTTCTTGCGCTCCCTCTCTCTCTCTCTCTCTCTCTCTCTCTCTCTCGCCCTCTCCCCTTCAAATGGCCACAATTCCCGAACCAAATGGGGGTCTAGGCCGGGGGGACCAGCTCGACTAATGCAAGATGAGGTGGAGGAGCGGAATGGCCGTTCCCTCAACGCAATACCTTAGCTGTGTTGTCTACGTCTTAAAGGGAGCATGAGCACCAATACTCACCTCCATCGCTAGCAACGTGCTCTGGGAGTGTCTTTGCATCGGCTGAATTCGGATCACCAGCTCCGGTGCCGGTTTCGGCTCGAACGATGAAGCGGTAGCTGCTCTCCGGGTCGAGACCCGTCAATCGAACCTGCAATCATAAATTTTTAGCAGACAGTATTTTAAATGGCTTAAAAGGATTTTTCTGCTGAAAAAACATAAATGCGTAGAGAAGGTAAAATCCGCTAAAATGGGCAGGCTTTCGAAAGACCGTTTTCCACGATAACTTTTGTCTATACTATTACCTCTTTCTTGTGCGGATCGACAACTTCCTTCGGGCAATTCTTCGACAGCACCTTCCCATCTTGCATTCGACACATTTCAATGACGAATCTAATTGATATATGTATTAGCTAGGGGAATTCGACGCCTACTTCTCGAGTTTTCCGTTCTTCTGCCGTGGGTTTTTCCACCGTAGAGCCACAACCCCTTTCTCTCCTTCGGATCGTCCATTTAATGGATATGCCTCTAGGCCTCGCACCGGCGATGGTACTGTAATAAGATTTTTAGAACATTAGCAGAGTTTCTTGATGCACGATTAGAGTGCAGCTTTCCTACCCTCCCCAGCCGGAGCCCGACTTTTGTATGTCGGCTCAAACACTTATTTAGTCAAAAACTAACCGCCCTCCTTGGTGGTGAATTGAATTTCCTCGCTCTGCGGTCCCTCATGTTTGCCATTTGTAACGGCAATTGTGGCATAGGTGAGTGTAGCCGGCTTCAGATCCGTTACGGTACCCTGGGTCACCTTCGGCCCGAATCTGATCGTCTTCTTCGCCGTGTCTCCGTTCGATGAGCGGCGAATGCGAGAAGGAATCGATCTCCTGAGCCGGCGTCTACTTTCCGTGCCCTCATCTTCTGCCTCTTCATCATCATAATCCTCCTCATCCTCTTCATCGTACCAGTAGGTTATCTAAAGTTAGTGGGGGATAATACAGGGTGTCCCAAAAAAAATCACCCCACCCTCTAGATGTGTCCGATTTTTACGATTCAGGTATCTTGTGAAAGCTTTCAAAAAGGCGGGTCCTGAGTCACTCCGATTTCAGAAATTTTGCGATTTGTCCTCGATTTTCGGCAATCTTCATGCAAAAAGTAAGGCTTTTTTATGAAAAGCGCAATTTAACCGGTTTTGCCGGTTCCGGTTCCGGTGCCGGCAAGCTGCGTTTTCGCAAACGGCTTTCAAAAAGCTGTCGTTTGGTTGCCAGGAAAGGCGAAAATGGGGAATCGGTAAGACGCGCTGGGATCGCTTTTTAGAAAGGTTTCGATAGATACCTAAACCTTAAAAATCGGACACATCCGTGACCGGATGGGGGGAGCGGGAGATTTTTGGGGCACCCTTGTATGTTCAGGAATGAATTAACGATACCTTATATCCGGTGAAGTTGCCGTTAGCCTGGATGGGATCAATGGGGTTCCAGGCAAAAGTGGCGGATGTGCCGTCAGTTGAAAGGACACGGAATCCCTCGACGACAACAGAGGGTACACCTTCCCCTGTACGGCCCTGGACTGTTTCCGGGTTGACACTTGATGATCCCTCATCATTCACTGCTTGTACTTGAACATCATACGGTTGGAATGGGCGCGCATCCTTGTCGTCTTCAAGGTTGATCGTCCATCTATAACAAACGTTTTTGGAAGTCTTTTTTGTATAGTCCAGCATTTTGCCACCTTCCATCCAATCGGTCCTAAAATTGGACCAGATGTGTATCTGTATCGACCCTAAAATAACAACTATCCTGACTTTTAGCCCCGTAGCTATAATAGTTCTCGAGTTATAACAAAAATAAACTTTATTGCCCATTTTTCATAAGGGTTCCGTGGAATTAGACCCCTAAACATTTAGTGAAAATGATTCACAAGGCCGTGTTTACCTTAAAAAAATTTTCTGTACTGAAATTGATCAAATAAGTTTCGATTTAAGCCATTTCTACCATGTAAAAGTACTCAAGTTCTTAAATGAAAAAAGGGATTCGCAGCCTGAAGCCGGTACAAATTGATGCAAAGTCCAACAAAACCGAAAAACTGCTACGAATCGCGTAGAAGCACGATTTTGGGTATATCTCGAGGGGCGGGATTGGAACCGATTGGATGTGATAGACCAAATCCCGGAGGGGGTGCTTTTCCTTGGAACACCCTGTCCAGGTGCAGTAGCCGGCATGATGTCAAAAGCTCTACTCACTCACCTATCAGCAAATGGATCCGGGACATCAGTCTCTTGCCATGGGGCATTCGGTTGATCGGCGGGACGGTATCGGATTTTGTAGTGGAAATTGGGCCCGTTCCACTCCTCTCGACCCATCGGCTTCCAGCTGACGACCAGATTGTCAGGAGATGCCCCTTCTGCCGAGACGGCGTTCGGATTTCTGGAAATTGTTTGTAATTTAATAGAAAGAGGGCTTGTGGATGACTTGATGTATAAACTGACTTGTCTGGGAGTTTGGCGGGGGTGTCACAGCCATCTCGCACTTTTGTTGGTGAGGAGTCTCCCACCGCATTGCGAGCCAACACGCGGAATTGGTACTGGAAATATGGTATAAGCAATGACATCTTTTTAGGTTTCTCTTCCTCACACACACTCACTCTCTCATTATCTCTCGCTCTCTCTCTCTCTCTCTCTCTCTCTCTCTGTCTCTCTCTCTCTCCTTCTATCTTTCCCGCTCACCTTTCCATATGGTTGTAATGATACAGTAGCAGCTCCCGAGACGACTCTATTCTCTCCCTCGACATAATCATTTGGATGTGCTCTTGTTGGTACAGGATGTGTCCTCCATTGTGCTCCTTCTGTCTCAGCGTCCATCTGATATTGTACCCAGAATTCAGTGACAGGCGCCACGGCATCTTCCGGTTCCATATGCTCGAAGTGGATCTCAGCGTATCGGGCCGTCGGGTCACATTTCTTCACGTAGGCTGCGTGTACAGGGACTGGCACGTCTGAAAAAGTGTATAAAATGATTGTTACGTTGTTTGGCAGATAATAGAGAACAAAAACCTACCTTTGATGGAGATCTTGAGCGTCTTCTCAGCACGATCGAGCTTCGTCGACGCGACACACTTGTACTCGGCCGAGTCGTACTGCGACGGATTGTGCACGACCAACTCGTGCGTGTCCGGATCGACGCGATAGTGGCCAGTGTGGATGTGCATCTCCGGGAGGCTTTTGTTGTCGATCAGCCACTCGTATTTCACTTCCAGTCTGAAAAGACGAGACTAGACTCAAACATCCAATCCACCGCTTCCTCCCCTTTTCTTTTTTCCTTTTTTTTTTTTTTTTTTTTTTTTTTTTTTTTTTTTTTTTTTTTTTTTTTTTTTTTTTTTTTTTTTTTTTTTTTTTTTTTTTTTTTTTTTTTTTTTTTTTTTTTTTTTTTTTTTTTTTTTTTTTTTTTTTTTTTTTTTTTTTTTTTTTTTTTTTTTTTTTTTTTTTTTTTTTTTTTTTTTTTTTTTTTTTTTTTTTTTTTTTTTTTTTTTTTTTTTTTTTTTTTTTTTTTTTTTTTTTTTTTTTTTTTTTTTTAAAAATATTAAATTTTTTTTCGCCCCCCCCCCCCCTAAAAAAAATTTTTAAAATTTTTAAAATAAAATTTATTAAAATTTTTTATTTTTTTTTAAAAATAAAAATTTTTTTATTTATTTTCTACCTGGAATCGGCCTCCGCTTCGCACGGTAGTCGAATCTCCTCACCGGCGACACGCACCTCGTGAGTGCGGGCGAACGGCTCGAGGATGGTGGCTTCTGGAAAGAAGCGGGTGCATGATTTCACTTTGCATTGAAGAGGATCGCAACGAAATGTAGCTTACTTCGCACCAACAGCTTGGAAGATCCCCTGGCGGTCCCGTACTTGTTCGTCCCGATGCAGTCATAGACACCCTCGGCGGCTTCGGTCACTTCTGAAAGGGTTTAGATGGTACGGCCAGAGATTTCAGAATGATTTTTCAAAAAAGGTATGATAGAATTATAAAGTTGAAAATCAAAGTATAATCAAAAGCAAAAACGCACTTTTGATGACAAGCTTGCCGACGCCGTGTGGATTGGCGGGGATGATGTCGTGGTCGATGTCTTTTAACAACGGGGATTCCCATTTGATTTGTGCGTTTGGTGAGGCGAAGAACTGGAAATAGGAAAATTGGAATTTGTTTGTTTTATCACTTTTTCTCTATCCCTCTCCCTAGATCTAGCTTTGTCTCTCTATCCTCTCTCCCTCCCTCTCTCTCCCCCCTCTCTCTCTCTCTCTACCTTGCATTCCAGCGTTACAGCCTGCCCAATGGCAGCCTCCACTTCTCCGGCATCGGTCAACAATTGCGGCTTGAAGGCGAGCAGATTGAGGTAGAAGTTTGTCCACACATATCCGTGCTTATTCTCGGCTTTGCATTGGTAGACAGCATTATCTCCTTTGCCATGTGTCCCTTTCTTCACATCATAGATGGTCAGCTTGTTCCCGTCCACCAGATATCGCTCGCCATCGTTGCGGCTTTTCTTCATTTCTGTAATGGGAAGTTTTGGCTAGGTTTAGGCTGAGGCTTACGCTTTAGGCTAACGCTTTAGACTTAGGCTTAGGCTTGAGCTTACGCTTAGATTTGGGCTTAGGCTTACGCTTAAGCTTAGACTTATTAGGCTCGTGCTTGGCTTTGCAATAAAGAAATTCCAAACTTTGAATAACAGCGGCAATATGGAAGGTATCCAAATTAAGATACTTACCAACACCATTTTTGTAGAATGTGACCTTTGGGGTGGGCTTCCCACTGGTGGTACAGTCGAAAGTGACCGTCTCCCCTCCGAAGTATTCGTATTTGGTGGTGGACCATCCGGCCAATACGGTTGCGCTAAAAAGTGCAAGTATGATGTGAGGCAGTTGAGTATTGCCGAGAAATCCTGGATCCCGCCACCACACAAAACAATAACAACAACCCTTCGCAAATGGTGTCAGAGGGAATCGGAGGGAATTGGCACAAAAAATGTTTGTATGAAAAAGACTCTCATTTCATCTTAGTCGGTGCCCAACTTACCACCGATTTGCACCGTAAACGAGCGCCCGATCTCGGATACGGTGGGAGAAGGGGCCAAGTCGATATCCGTTGAATTACCCTCCGAAATTCTCTATTTTTTGAGGGGAAAGGTGACAGGGAAGAAGATGATGATGAAAATTACGCCACTATTCCAGTAATGGTGTCAGAATTGGCAAAATATGCGTTTCCGCTTCAAAACCAGCTAGAGAAGCATAAGGTGCGATAGCCTCTTCAAAATTTCGACTGACCTTCGACCTGCACGTTGAATACCCGATCGATTTCACCATGCAACGGGAAGCGACAGTCATACTTTCCGGCCTTGTCCTGAGTCACGTTGAATACCTGGAGAAGGAATGTTAATGTACCATTCAGCCGCAGGATTTGCTAACAGAATGCGAAATTCAACTCATCGAAAATGTTTGGCAAAAACTATTCGTTCGCAATTCGCCCTATTCGCAATTTGAAGCTAACGAACATCGAAATGGAAGCGTTTCAAATTTGTAGAAAACCTATTAGTCGCGGAAGGTAGCTTGGCCAGATTAGTTCCGCAACATTACATTTCGACAAAATGATTTTCGAGTAAGCAAAATTTCGACAAAACAAAAATAAGCTGAATCACATACCAATGTCTTGCCAAATCCCTCAAATCTGAACCCGTCATCGCGATCCTCGCTGATCTCGAGACCGTTGTGGAACCATCGCGGTTTTGGGGCCGGGCTGAAAATGGTATCACATTAAAGCCGCTAGGTAGAGGAATTTTTGTTCTCGGCTCTGCTAATTTTCACTCATTTCTCCAGCCTAATTCTCCATTTCCTTTTCCCACACTCTTCTCCGACTCAGATGCGGATTCGTGGTGGCTATATCCCAGGTAATATCCTCACATCCGGTCCTTCCCCCCCGTCGAGTGGCTAAGTATTATAGATCTCTTTGTGCGTCTCTTTTCAATAGATCCCCTCCCGTCCTCCTTATCCGATATTCCGACAAAGGCCCCAGGTGACAGTCCGGGTCATTTCTTGATATAGCCCCGGGGTATGTACTGTCAATCATCCACATGCTACCAAGATTTCGGCCCGCCAACGTCACTTCATTCCTATTGCCTTATCGACGAAAGAAACGTCGAGTTTTGAAAAATATATGTTTAAAAATTGGAGTATTCTATTGCCGAGAACTTGAATCCTGAATTTTCAGAATTCCGGATTCTCTCAACATCCGAATTCTTCAAAAACTTAAACTTTCAGAAGACAACATTTTGTATGCCGTAAAAATTTTTGGTCCTAGAAAGCCTGAAAAATAGCTCAGTTTGCTGATCATGAACATGCGATATTATAACATTTGAAATCCAGAAAAGTCCACCTTATTATATTAGATGGCTTGGAGTTTCCGTTTGGCAACCCTAAAATCATAAATTCCGCGAATTGTCAGATTCGCTACCCACAACTACGACGACATCCCGTCCCGACCAACTGTTGCGAGGATCGACGCGTAGTCGCCATTTTTGGCGTCGCCGGCCGGAAAGGGCCGACTTTTTTTGAAAGAACCGAGACGACCCGCCGCAGCACACGCACCCCTCGTTAGCCCAAAACGACAATCCGTCACACCCCAGAGGAGGAGGACTATACGGAATTCAGGGTTTTTCGGTCTGGGGCAGTCTTTTCGATTAGCGAGGGAAGCCTAAGCCCTAAGCTTCAGCGTACCCCTATACAAGCCCAAGCCGAAGCCCGTGACAAGCCTAAGCCGAAGCCTAACTTTAGGGACCAACTGGGGATTTGCTAAATTGTTGCTCTTGGAATGAGTCGATTCGCACCCGGATCATTTGCATGCGTCAATGGCCATCCTCAGGCTAGGGGTGGTAATTATGGCGGGACAGGTGGGGGAAACAGCATAGATAATCGGTGTGCATTTTAAAGGGACGTGGCAGGGACAAATTTAGCACTTTTACCCGTATCTGTCACTCTCCATCTCATTCTCTCATTCCCTCTCTCTCTTTCTCCCTCTCCCTCTCCCTCTCCCTCTCCCTCTCCCGCTCCCTCTCCCGCTCCTTCCTTTCTCGAGGTCGATATAGCGTGTGGTTGATGCGTGGATTCCGGTCGAATTCCCTTCGGGACCCATCTTCCCCATGGGCTGAATTCATCGTTCTTCTTCCCCGTCCTTCCCCTCTCTTCCTCTTCTATCGTTGCCCACCATGGATTAGGCGGGCTAGAGGCTGAGTAGAGTGACCAATGTGCCCATGCCCCAAAATGGGTCCCTAATGTCCAGGGGGAGATGGAAGAGCACGGGGGAGTCCCCCCGAACGCCCACCGGGACGACACCACCCAACACAACGACCCCCTCCCGGCCACACAAGACATGCGAAAAAGGCCCCATCGAATCGGGCACCAGCTAGCTGCGGGGCCAACACCATTAGCTATGCAAGGGGCAGCGAATTCACGATGAATCGTGCGAGGGCATGGGGAGTAAGAAGAGTAAGTAAGAAATCACAGCTTAGCTTTAAGGTTGGGTCTCAAATGATCTCTGCTGGCCTGTCAAATATCCAAAAGTATAGTTGGCTCTAAAGGGAACATATCAGTTCTAAGAAGGAAAGAGAAGACGGGATGCCAGCCAAAATCCCGGCATCCAAAATTCCGAAAAATCCAGAAAGGAGATGGCATTGAAGCTAATTTCAAGAATATCGGAATTTTGGTCTGTCGGGATTTTGGCGGTCGGGATTATGGCTGCCATCCGGTTTTCAGACGCTTATATCACAAGGACTGACACAATCCACACACACAAGAACTAACAGTCCGAAGCATTTCCCCAAGCGTCAGCGTCACTGCTAGTCTACCTCCCTACGTCCAGTAACCAAAATCCCCCCCCCTTGTCGCGTTTCCCATATTTCAAGGGGGATCTCTCCGGTGTTGTCTGGAGGGAGTGTCCAGCTTGTCTCATGTCCCCCTGGCCTCCCTGTCCGTTGGCCACCAAATGACATTCCCTAGGGGACACCGGAAGGGGAAAGGAGAAGAAGAAGAAGAAGAAGAAGCCCGAGACAACGGATGTGCCCTCAGGGCACATCCACCCTCCTCCTCTACATAGTTTCACCCCGATTTGTCCACGATACAGCCAGCCCCCCGCCCGCTTTTTCTGAAGGGGTGTCAATGTGGGGACACGAAAAAGAAGGAGCAGATGTAATATTAAGAGTGACTGGCATGAAGCTATTGCCCTAGATACTATAATAATCAAGTGGGAAACGCCTGGCCATAAGCTTGGCCTAGGGCGAACTACTCTTAGGGTTTCAGGTAAGCTTGGATTTAGGCTTAGCGTAGGCTTAGATTAGGGCTTAGCTTGAACCCGAGCTTTCACTTTGCCTAGGCTTAACTCAGCCCTAGCTTAGCTTTCCGCCCAAGAAACGAATCGCTAAAAACCTACTATCCGGAAAAGAAGCAGTGCAATTTGTGGGTATTCCCTTGTAGCGCGATCGGGTTGCTCTGGTTGACGTACTGCTCCGATGGCGGCACATTTGACACTGAAAATTGGGTATAGTTAAGGGACGGAAAGGCAATCTTTGCTGGCATATTTCTCGGTTTTTCTCCTTTACCGAAATGGTTTTCTTCCTCAGTCTTGTTCGGTAAGTTTTTGCGGTGATACTTTAGTTATGGATTTTGCTAGCTTAGGTTGCGACTGCATCTGATCGGCATTGCGATATTAGGGACGGCATAGACCTAATAGCGTATGGGTAACCTCGTAGTAGCCTTAGAATAGGGGGTAACATTGTTGGCACATGGCATCTGTCCCGTCATGGACGGAAGCCGGGAGGAACGGGTCGTTGAAGCGTTTCGATATTAATTAGGTGGTTGCGCGTGGAGAGAGAGAGAGAGAGCGTGAGAGTGAGAGAGAGCGGGAGAGAGAGACAGAGAGAAGAAATTAGCTATATGCGCCTCCCCCATCCTGTTGCCCCCCCCCGCCATTTGGTCCCGTTCCTTGGGGGTATAGGCTATGGGATGCACAGATTGTCCTCATCCTTCTGCCGTTTGGGGGTGTCAAATTTCGAAGTGGCCTCCTGGGGGTCCTTTTAGAAAGCTCGAGCCCCCTTCCTTCCCCTCTACCCCTCTACGCTAACCCCTGGCAAGGGATGCTAACGACCAAAAAAAAGTGGTGCAACGCGCCTCCTTCTCATGTTACCGGGTCGAAAACTTGTGGTGACGCTGTTATATCGATCGATCATCGCTTTTTCATTAATGCACTGCCCGTTCGGATTAGCGCCAAATTGCATCAGTTTTTCGTGCACCCGCTTCCCCCGCCCACCACCAGCACCCCTAAAATGTGACCCTTTTAGGGCTTTTGGCCTTGCGCCACCCCTTCCCCTACCCGTCGGCAATGAATACCGCACACTTATGCAAAATTGGTGGCAATTTAGCCCAGGGCTCGAAGGCGTCGACCCCCAAAACCATTCTCCGAGTGTTCTCTCCTAAAATGGGGGGGCAAAAGCCGCGCGCAAATTAGACCCAGCATCGCAGGGGGAGTACGCAAGAGGCCTTTGTACGCGCTCCCGTTTCTTCCGCTTTGCCCGCTCTAAGGAGGGGGGGGCACAAAACTTGTATAGCGTCTTTTATAGAGGGCCGAGGGAATGGGTGGAGAGAGAGACCTCTTTAGAGGGGAAGATGCCAGTTAGGCACGCGAGAAGGGCATAAAAGGGGACTGCGCTAGCAAGTGTTTTTAGAGGGCCTAGGAAGCAAAATAATTATGCAGAAAAGTCTTGAAATTCACTTTGGGCTGTCATTTTTACATTTTAGTCACTTACATCATATTTAAACGTCTATTTTCACCCGATACAGTGCCCCTAAAGACGGGAATTTTCGAATTTCTCTATGAGACCCTGGGGCACTAGTCTGCGGGGGGGGAGAGGGGGAGGGGGAGGGGGAACTGACTCATTCTCTCCCCCACGTTTCATTTCAAAATACCCTGCCCCCAGGTTGGGCCAAAAAGAGCTCCTCTGCCCACATCAACAATGCCATGCACACTCATGAATTTTTCGCGCGTCCACGCGCGCCTTTTAGGCAAATACCCAGCAGGACTCTGTGGTGTCGGGTCGATTCAGGGGAAAGAGGGAGAGAGAGAGAGAGAGGAGAGAGAGAGAGAGAGAGAGAGAGAGAGAGAGAGTGGGTGGCTCTCAATTTTCCGCCCATAATACCAGGGGTAGTACCGGGGCAGCGGTGGCGGCGGGAAAAGGGCTGTCAACAATTCGCCATTTTTGGATGAGGCTGTGCGGTGCGACGAGGCAACATTTCGCGCGGTAAGAGAGTGAGAGAGAGACAGACACACGCTCAGACAGACAAACAGGTGCACAGTCAAATGAACAACTCCAAAAAGAGGGAGAGAAATTCTTCTTTCCCCTCCCAGGCTAACAACAAAACTTTTCATTGCTATCCCCTCAACCCCCGAAATTGACAAATCGATCCCCCCCTTGGTTGCGCACTCATTGAGAAGAGATTTACGATGGAATTGCGGGAAACGAAAAACGCCTTTTAACTCGCCGCGGACGGGATCGAACCCGGCCCGAGTAGGTGAGAAGCTAAAACAAAACGGGGGCCCATTTTTCTGCCACGAGATAACCCCAACACATTGTGTAGAAGAACATTGGCTATTTGCCAGCCGTCTATCCACTCGGATTATCCACCGCTGCTAGCCTGTTTCGTTGCAGCAACACCAACGTGGCTGAGGACAATCGAGCAGCGAGTGGACGATGCTTAGCGGGGGGCTAAGTGTTGCTCTGCGTTTGCACTTGCTACCCCTCGCTCTCGCTCTCTCACTCTCTCTCTCTCTCTGTCTCTCTCGCTCTCCTCAAGAGGCCTCCACACCTAATGCAAATAGAAAGCGATGCCCGATCCGCTTTCGCATACACACAGACGCAAAAAAATTAATTCGTCCCCCCGGTATCGGGTTGTTGCCATTGGGTGGGTCCCTGCGGGAGCATGGATCAGGGGAAACCGGTTTCCGGCAAAACGTATTTAAGCCCAGAATTTTTGGAAACGGGTTGCGCGTAAAAAAAGGGGGGAAGGCGCGAGAAATTGGGTAAAAGGGCTGTAGGGGAAAACTCTCGCGTGGCCCGAGATTCGTACACGCAATGAAAAGGCCGGGATGGCCAGGCATGGAAATTCGGTGTTGAAGAAGCTGGGAAGGATAGCAAGGATTTCCGAGATCAGACGATGGATTTAGGAGGAGAGAGGGAGGGAGACAGAGCGAGAGAGAGAGAGAGAGAGAGAGAGCGAGAGAGAGAAAGAGAGAGAGAGAGAGACAGCGCTACAGCGAGATAGGGCGGGACAGAGCAAGAGAGAGCGAGAGGGACATAGGGAGAGTAAAAGCAATAATTGGATTCGTAAAACCTCCAATTCAAATTTAAATTAATTCGTTCCCCAAAACGGCACTTACACGATCGGCGCTTGTTGTTCGAGATGTCGAGTCGAAATTTCGAGCCAAACTTGTAGTCCTTGAGCTCGGTGTTCTCCGCCGTGCACGTGTAGAAGCGGTCGGGCTTGAAATCGGACTCTCGCACAAAATGGAAGAAAATGGTGCCCTAAAAAGTGTGCAAATAGCATACCGTGGGGATGAGGAGGAGTATAAATGGCCCGAGGGCCCACCACCCAATCATCTGGGGCCGCTATTGAAAAATAACGGGTGGGGGGATCGCGTCGCGTTACCGTCGTGGCGTCGTCGTGCGCATATACTGCACAAAATGGGAGTTTTTTTGATGATTTTGAATGTGGAGAGAGCACGAGTATCAACTTTTAGATTATTAAGAAGATCAGATCCGGATAGTCCAGGCGTAGCAATTCATTTTCTTACGAAAGGAAATTGGCATGGAAACTCCTGTAGAAAACCTAGAGGCCTTTAGGATTTTGAATACTAAAAAAGCAAGCATATTAAATTGTAGATCAAAAAATATCATCAGCCCACATGACAGCGTCAGAGAACCGATTATGGTATGAAATTGGTATGAAAAACGTCGGTAAATCGCGAAATCGCCACTTTTTTTTGTCCGCCCAAATCCATCGATTTGAACAGTGAATGCTCATCAGAATTTTCACGCGGGACGGAGGAATGTGGCTAAAAAGTAAAATCGGCAACAGTCCCAGCCCCCGGGGCTGCAAAATGTTTATCGGGGGCCGGAAAAGCAAAACGCGCAACGGGGGTGCGTCAGGTTTGCACTGACCATTCCCCCCCTCTCTTTCCACGCCCATCACCCCTCCTAAATGGGTAATGAACCGGAAACAAGCAATAGAATTCAGCCCCGAGTACCAGCGCTAGACACTACGCAACAATAGGCTCAAAACTAGGAAAAACAGCCTTGGGGTTGCTGAGGTGAATATGCAGATGCCGTAATGTCAAAAATTCTTGGTGTTAAAAATTGATAATGTCGACATTTCTATCTGCCGACGTTTTTCGGGGGAATTTTCCCGGGAGATTTGCTGATGTAAATTTTGACCTTTTCCAAATTTTCTACTGGCTGTCCAGCGGTCCGGAGGAAGCTCAGATCCGGGTGCTTTTTACATCATTCGAAAGCTCTCGAAAAGGCGAGGTTCCATTGTCTAAGCTTCAATCTCATTCGCTTGATATTCATCGTTTTTCGAAAAAACAGGTAATTTTGCATAAATTGCATAAATAAGCAGTTTTCGTGGTTTTTGGACGTAAATTTTCTCGCCTTTTCGAGCGGGAGCTTTCGATAGAGGCCTAAATCGTGAAAATCGGACACGAATCGGCAAAAGGACCTCTAGAGGGTACTTTTTTATGGGACACCCTGAATACGCCGGATTTATTTACGTAATATCCCTCGACAAGATGTAAAGGTCCTGTCAAATCAACAATTCTACCTAGACTTTTCAAAAGTTTCACGGTGCTACCCGGCTCGAAATCGATATCTGCCACATCCGTTCGGCCCGGGCCGTCCAGATCGGAAAAATCGGTAAAAGGAGAACGGCTGTTTTTCAAACGGAGCAGAGGATGAGAAGGAGGAGGAGCAGCAGCAGCATGCTGGTTGTGTTGGTGTGGTGGATGGCCGGGGCCCCGTCCCCCCTGCCCGCCCAATAACTCGGCCAGTCAGAGAAGAGTATAGAAAGGAAACGAGTGGGGTGGAGGCTCTCTTTCTCTCTCTCGCTCTCTCTCTCTCTCTCACTTGCAAAGTCTCGCCCAAAAGAGAGGCACGCCCCCTTTCCAAACGACCTCCCCGCCGTGGCTCGGCTTGCTTTCTGCCAGCAACCACCCAGGCCATGCCATTGGCCTCTAGGGCCCTAAGGGTTGCGGGCCCATCTCTTAGATCCGGGGCTGATATGGGGCCAAAGCTATGCCAGGAAAAGATAGCCGGATATGCCCTGCTTTTTATGGGGATTCCATTGGTAAGGAGAGGTTTGATGCATGTTAGGCCTAAGAATAAGCTAACAAGGAAACGTATGCTTAGCCTAAGCCTAAGCATCCCTATTTTGTGTAGAATTTTTTGCTGATTAAAACCTCGTTTTCAGAATCAGGAAAACGACCAAAGTCAGGAAGTTATTATGCTTTAAAGGGTCCAAAAAAAAAGAACAAAGTTGGCCGTTTTGGGAATGTTTTACACTTTAGAGCTTCGTAACTTTTCAAGTCTAGTCGTTTCGCAGATTCTGAAAGGTAAGTTTTGATCATGAAAAAATTCTTCGCAGATAGGCTTTCCATTCATCCTAAAACAGGTTCAAAAAATAAGTTGGAAATTCCGTGGATCAAAAACGTATCCTTGTCGGTCTAGCCGTAAGCCAAGACCAAGCCAAAGCTCAAGCTTAGCCGAACCTAAGCCTGAACGCCAAAACCTCACTTGAATCTAAACCCCTGAGCCTAAAACTGGCACTAATCCTCGGCCTTAGTCGAAACCTAAAAGTCGAAGCCTGTCCTAAGCCAACGCCAAAGCTAAGCCGAAATCGAATCTACCCCCTCCAATCCCCTTCAATCAACCCGCCGAACACCGGAAGCTACAGATATCTGCCCGGGGCTATCATTTACATTCACCCCGCCATCTCTCCCCCCCTCTCTCTCTCTCTCTCTCTCTCTCTCTCTCTCTCGCTCCTTTGACAGCTGTTCAAGGGACATTGAAGGCGCAACATGTCGTTGCCAGGTCGTCAACACCAATCCCCCTTGACTAGATAATAAAGTCAACTAAAGCAAAAGGATAAAATTTAAACGGTAACTGGATACGATTAATATGTCAGCCCCTTAAATGCCTCAAAAAAAAACAATTCATTCGAAAAGCCAAACACAACGCCTGAATTCATTAGCGGGCCACCCAGGCGCCCGGCCGGTGACTTTGAACGGCCCAAATCTAATTAATGGCGGCGAGAGAGTGAGAGAAATAGAGGTAAGAGAGAGAACGGAGGGACACTGGCTGTGTGTGTTTATCCCCCCAAAAGCCTTGACTGCCAGAACCATAGCAACGCAAAACAGATGCCATCCCCACGGAGAGGGGGATCGAGACGAACGTTCGACTGTTGTTTCCCAAGAAAAATATCATCAAAATCTGAACTGTCACTGTTGGGCCTAGAGAACTAATTGGTAAGGCATCGTAATGGGCTTTGGATGTAAGAAGTTGGTGGTTGCTAAATCAAAGATAATCCCTTCTGGAACCCCTAAAGGTATAAGGAAAGCCCAGTAGATGAGGGCTCAATTAAAATTGGCAACGAGCCACCCGGCAATGCTCATGCAAAAAATCAGCAGAGAGCGGGCCGAAACAGGAGGGAGCAGAAAATATTTATGCTGATTTTAGAACTAAAGCCGTTTTGTCCTAATTTTTCCTGGGCCTTCCTGATCCCTTTAATCGATCCCATGCCCATCGCCCAATTTTCAAAGATCCCCCCAAATGGCCGTCATAAATTTGGCCCCTGAAGGAGGGAATGCACGGGTTCAGGCCCCGGGATTAATCGCCGGCGTATGCGGCCCGGGTTCAAGGGCTAAATGCGGCCTCCCCTATTGGGTCATTGATTCCGCAAGGCATCATGGCTAGGCTGCTTCCGCTCATGTACCATCTTGCGTATTGCCTGAAAAGTTCAGGCTCCCGCAAAAAAAATCGAAAAATGCTCACAATTTGGCAAATTAACCTTAAGGGTCCGACGGCATCACCCCTCATCAACAAATTGCAAGCCAATAGGGCAGAGAGCCAGGGGAGAGGCGGTGCTTTCTCCAGCGCGTAACCGATTGACTATGCCGTCGCCTTAAGCGAATCCGAAGCCGAAGCATATGCCCCAAACGTGAGCCAGAGCGAGCTCATGTAAGCCAGAACCGAAGATAAACCCAAGCCTAAAGCCTAAGCCTAAAGCCTAAGCATGAGCTTAAGCATTAGCCGAAGCCACATTATAAGCCTAAAGCTAAGCAAAACGTAAGCGTCAGACTAGGCGAAACTTAGGCCCATGCTTCACCATTTAAGCATAACCAATGCGTATGCTTAAGCTGCGCCTGCGCCCTAGCCCAAGCATCCGCGCAAATCCTGCCCAAAGCGCCGATGCATTAGCGGGTGGCTATAGCGCGGTACAATCAGGTGGTTAGATAATTACCGGGTCGATAATAGAGGGGAAAGCCTTTTCGGGTAGTATGGAGCGTAGAAAGGACACTAATGGATGTGTTGACCAGCAGTGACCGCGGAACACCCCGCTTCCCTCTCGAAATGGCCATTGCCTGGCTGGAAGGACCCATGGAGACGCTTTTAATCAACCAAAAGTAGCCGCACTCAAAAAAAAGGAAACGCGAGGGCTGACTAAAAGGGGCATGCGGCCCATTATTGGCGGGTACGATTTCGTAGGCTCCTCTTGACAGTAGCTTCTTAAAAGGACTAGGAAGCAAAAAAACCGACATCTTTTGTCTGTTAGCTAACAAAAATGTAATAAAAAATAATAAAAATGTTTGCATTTCAAATAAGTTATTAGCAAAACGCGGATCATCGACCGATTTTCACAAGAGCCCTAGGTGCGCTAAAAATCGGTTGAAACGCGCCAGAATAGACCCATCCCGTGGCCGCATAATTTGAGTATATTTGCCCATCCTCTCCGATCAATCATTTTGCGCACAGAATATTTGCGCATCGGCATTTCCGTTGCGCGCAGCCGATGCTACTTTCTTTTTGTCTGCTTCGTTTGCCCCCCCCCCCATGCCATAGCTCGAGAATACTTTCAAGGGACCGGGAAGTAAAATTTGCATGTGGGTGAATAAAACCTATTTCTCAAAAATAACGTGATCTTACTGAATAAAATTCTCTGGTATTGGTTTGCCAAGAAAGCCAAAATACAAGGGAGAACCCAAGTGTTTTGGGGAAAATAGACTTTGATAAGCCAAATAATCATGGTCATTAAAAGGCCTGAGGATTCAAAATTGCGACAGAATCTGCGAATTCGCGCATGCGCGGTCGCGTCGCCGTGTTTTTTGTTGGCAATATGCCATGAATCGACGAGAGAGGCGAGGTGTATTTGCGTTTAAATAGCCTTTAAATCTGATGTGTACTGGCTGTAGTGGGGCGCGTGTTACCAATAATAGATATAACACACTCCTCATCAAGCTCTCTCCAACAAAATAGATTGCGACTCGGGTTGACTAGAGCGCCTGAGAAGCAGCAGAAGAGGAGAAGAAAAGATTGTGGCGAGGGCAACGGGAAATCAGATTTCCGTGGGAGTACGCTAAAAGACGCTCCTCCCTTCCCCCTGGGTTACCCCATGTTGGCTTGATGATTCGGGTGGTGGGTCTCCTCCAAAAACGGGGCGAAAATGGGAAAAGGACTGGCCTGTTCATTGCTGGAAATATGTGTCGAGTTGATAGTCTCGAATTGGCCCGGTTCTTTTCCCATCAGAATCCAGTAGACGCTGTAATAAGTTATTATTGAAAGGTAGTCGTTTCCTTTAGGAGTTTGATAAAAGCTTCTCACCGAGCTGTCGGGTTGCTGGCTGGTGGACTGCAGTTTCGCGAATAGGGATCGCCGAGTTCAACCTTCACAATTTCTGGCTCATCATCGGGGAAGTGGCGAATCCCTGAAGATTTAAAAATTTACTTGGAAAAACGCTTTGCTATGATAATACCGAATTTTTTATTGTCGTAATTCATGTTGTCGGAAACTCGGAAAGGAAAACCTTCGACGCACAAAATTTCTACGTCATGAAATATTGTCATACTCAATTTGAGCAACAAATTTCTACACTTTAAAATTAAGCGAAAAAAAAGTGATCCGAGGGAGGAAGTAGTATCAAAATTGTTTCAAACAAAGATATCCCAGCCCAGCCAGTGAATACATTGATAGGAGCGTAACGTAGTCCAGATTTCCTACGTTGCATAGCACGACAACACATTTTTTGCTTTTCTTAATTACCTTAAACGTTGTTTATGCTTTTCAGTTAGTTTAAGATAATATTAAAACGCACAAGTCTGCTCCAAATGGATTGGCTGTCCGACGGCAGTTCCGTTATCATTTGTCGCCTCACACGTGTAGATCCCCGCATCTTCAAGGTCTAGCTTTGAGAAAACCTAGAATCTTGGCTCTGAAAAACTTGAAGAAACCTACGAGAGTCCCCTCGCCGGGTTTTTGCACAACTTTCTCAGAATAGGCGGACACTTGGAAAGGTTTGCCGTTTTTTCTCCATTTGTAGCTGAAAGAGGGGCAATCTATACGTTTTTTTTCTAAGATCCAATTAAAATTAAAGCAATCTCAACGTAGCCATTGAGTTTTTCAAGTTAAAAAGGCAAAAAATGACCTGGGCTTCGGGTTTCCTTCTGCTAAACAATGTAATGTGACTTCTCGTAAGTTATCCGGTACGATCGACGTCTAAAAATGGCCAATTTTTATATTGAATTATTCACGACGACGTGACGGTCATAACAACGATAATAGCACCCACTTTATCATCAACAACGGTTTTTTCGACCGTGTAATAAACAGTCTTTGCATTGTCATCATGGACGAATCGGGGCGGAGTCGCGATCGATTCCCAATCAATCGATGGCTCAACTAACAAGGAGACGTTTTTTGGTGTGAATGGAGTTTTGAGACAAGACCAGGCCTATTTTGTGCAGAATTTTGCGCTGATTCCGAATATATTTTCCATTTTTGCTAAATAGTTCGATTTAAAAAGTTACAGCAATTTTAAGATCATTTTAGCCCCAGTTTTCCCATCTTTAAGGCCCATTATGTTGCTTTTCCCGGCTGATTTTCCAAAAATAAATATCATCATCGTACTCAGAAATTTTTTCTCTATCAAATAAGCCCTTTAACTCAAAATTGTCAAAAAATGAAAAATTTGACGATACTTGGTATGGACTCCGTTTTTTGTATGGGAAATGGTGAAAAACAGCCTATTTCTCACCCCTGTAAGTGATCGTTGGTCGGCAGTAGTGCACTAATCAAATATACCATTCGAATCAGAAAAAAATTCTCTACAAGGTAGGCTACTTAAAATAAATTGGAACATTAAAACAAAAAAGTAGCACATCATGGCATTTGGCTACTCTGGGCCTAAAAATGAGCTTAAAATAGCTGTAACTTTTTAAAACGGGCTATTTAGCAAAAACCGAAAACATATTCGGAATCAGCGCAAAATTCTGCACAAAATAGGCCTGGTTTCGATTCAAAACGCCATTCACAGTGAAAAACGTCTCCTTGTAAGCGGATGGCGCATTAATGGTCAGCAGTATCAATTACCTGATATCAAAAAACAACAAAATATTCCATAGAATAACAATGGCCTATCGGGTGGCCAGTGGCGTCTCATGGCCAGAGAAAAGATGAACAAGATGAGGCTTCACTAACTACGTGGTTCCTGAAAATGTGAAAATTGTTGGAAAACCTTGCAAGGGCGGATTTTTTAGTTTGTAATCTTTGAAACCTCTTACATATAGGCTTTTAATGCTAATTAAATATAACTTTTTATAAAAATAGAGGAATATCGATTCAGAACAAATTTTTCGACATGTAACATGTAGTAAAAAGGAGTGCTCGAAATGAGTTGACCGCGACGAACGGAAATGAGTTGGAGGGAATCTATTTGCCCTCGCCTACTCGTTTAGTAATCTCTGCACACCCGTCAGTTGTTTTCGTTTTGCTTAACCATAAAATAAAGCACATTAGATTGGACACCGGAAATTGGCTGGAATTTCTAAATAAATGAAACCACATTTGTTTCTTAGGATCCCATTTTTCAAATATAAATATTGGGAGTGTTTCTAAAGCGTTTTTTACTACTTCTAAACATGGAAACTTTACAAATTAAAGGAAAAATAGATTTTTCGACCAAAAAATGCCGATTTTTTTACCAAAATTACGATTTTTTTAAGGTTTGTAGATAGTTTTTCTAGTTAAAATATAGTTTGCTAAAAACACTATTAAAACGCTTCCATCAACTTACGAGGCATTTCTACACTTATATGAAAGAGTCCCCCCCCGATAATACGAAAGAACCCTCCAGGCAAAATGACCGGAAGTGGCCGTCATTTGGTTGCAGAGGTCGTTCCTTAATGCTTGTGTGTTGTAAAATGGCTTGTTTAAATAAAACGATAGTTTTGCAGATTCCATTTGGAAGATTTAAATGGGACATCGTGTATTTGCCGCCCCTAAGCACATAATATGAACGAACCTATACTCGCTACAGTATTGTCCCGGCTATTCGTTCAATCGTACACAGTAGTGCCGCGTTTTCGTGGCTCGTTCTCAATCGGCAAATCGTGATCGCTCTCTAAAAAGCGTGCTTAGAACCTTTGCTCAGGCTAGGAAATGGAAGGACAATAGAATGGGCGCCCATAATCCAATTTCGGAGTAGCGACTCCGAAAAGCTTCGCTTTTTTGTTAAGTTAGATATCTATTGCAAACCCTCAAAATGCGGAAAAGAATAGACGTTGTCGTTTCCGTAACAAGGATTTTACTGAATGGCATGACGACCGAAAAACTTCCAAAATGGAGAATCATGTGATATCCTAAATGTGAATTGCCAGGCTGCCGACCAAAACTAACAGACTTTTGAAGAATATTTTTGAAGTAGTATCCCAGAAATTCAGAACTAATTTTTTCGCTTTTTGTGGGCATGCGCATGGCATAAAGATAAATGTAATTTGGCATTGACCAAGCGAAAAATTGGTGAATGGAATGGACTGCCGGGACGAAAAACAGTGAAATGAAGGTAAGCCAATCGCTAGATGAGGAGGCAAAGGATTCTGATATGATAAAGTGAGGGGCGAGGAACGTTTCACGGATATTTTGGATAGTCGAGAGGGCATCCATCAATCCCGAAACGGGGGATAAATGAATGAAGGGTGGAGGGAAGAGGAAAAGCTGGAAAGCGAGACGAGAGCCACCCAAGTTTGCCTAAGGCTCGATTCCGCGAGAATCCTGTCGCCTTAGACCGCAAATCTTTGGTGGAGAAAAGCTGAGGGGGAAGCGGGGGGTGGGGCACATTTCACACCACACTTTCACCCGAGGTGTTGCAAATCTGGAGGAGGTAAAAAGGTTGAAAAAAGCGGATTAAAGGGCCTTGGGAAGAAACGGCATAGTTTTGGTGAGATCTAAGTCTAACCCTAAGCCTAAGCCTAACCGAAACGTCAATCCTAAACTCTAATCAACTAAAAAGGATGACCTTAAACCTAAGCTTAAGCTTCGAGTATCGTAGTTAGTTTCGAAACGAAGGGTGAATACTGACTTGAAAGAACAGCTCCCAAAAAAGGCCGCTGGCCCTGAAAGAGCGATGAATCAGTCGGGAAGGACATTGCAAAGTTCGGGCCATCCTCAAAGCCCCTCGTCCAACCGGCCATTGAAAATCTTTAGGCGCACGATTTAAAGTTGTTGGCTACAGTAGCTTTCAAAGTGTACACTTTAAAGGGGCGAGGAAGGCAAGCTTGTCCGCGCCCTCGCAATCGGAAGTTCGCCCCTCAACGACAAAAAGAAAAACAGACAAGGGTTCCGTAAAACATCATGACTCAACCACCGTAGTATAAGAGCCATTTTGGGATGCTTTTTGGAAGAAAAGGTCGTTGAAGGGAGCTAGTAAGAAAGGGTACCGGCTACTGTTGCCACATCACCCAGCGGGATGCACCCCGTGAAAAGGAAGCTTCGGGAGAGCAGGTTTGTAGAGGCTAGGCATAACTATGGACTTCTTGGATTCTTTTGCTGATCTAATCAATATAAAACTTTTATGTGCTCCTAACCGCGACGCGCCGGGCGCAACGGACCTTTCGATTTCGTGATCGATTACGACGTCGCGTTAGACGGTCGTGTTTTGGTCAGCCATTAATGCGTCAAAGGCATCGATAAACCGGAAAGCCGTCTACTGGAAGGAGATTGAAGATGTAATGACCTTCAGCGATGGGGACAGATCCACCCATAAACGGCCTGCAAGGGTCAAAATCCCAATGGGGATGGGGGTGGGAAGGGCACGGGAAGAGGCTGTAAAGATGTCCGACAACGTTTTTTAGCCTGAGGGCATGGGATAACGATTGGGTACGAATCGCATGGTACCTGATGATGAGAAGGTTGGGCGCCCCCTAGGGTGAGTCTTTCAACAGTTGAAGCCAAAAAAGGGGCATCTGCGTTTCACAAACAGTGGGATGGAAAGACTTTCGAGCTTCGAAAAAAGCTTCCATTGGCCCAAACCCACACTACAACTCGACTTAGGCGAAGGCTTAGGTCAGACTTGCTTGGGCTTAGTCTTGGGCTTAGACTTAGGCTTTAAATGTCTAATTGAGCACTCTCGTTAAATGGGGACGCCCGGAATAGAGAATAGAGAATTAGTTGGTGGGAATGGGAGGAAGGGAACTGCTGAACAAACAGTAATACAGTCAGAGGGGTCGTATAATATGTGGCCACTACCAGGGCTCCCGTCAAGGACCCGCCAGTGTCCTCAGGGCAAACCGGACAAATTTAGGAGAGAGAGAGAGAGAAAGAGAGAGAGAGAGAGAGAGAGAGAGAGAGAGAGAGAGAGAGCGGGGGAGAGGGAGACATATGACCTGGCGGGGAGGTACACCTGGGTAGAAGGCTCCCGTTAGAACGCTTCTGCTGCTGGTCACTGTCCAAATTTGCATACGGGCTTGTTGCCGGGTGGGAGAGGGAAGAGGATGAGGAGGACCAAAGCAAGCCTACGGGCTCGGGTTGACCTTTTGGCCCTCACAACATGGGTTAGGCAGAGATGAGAGAAATGGAAGCTTTTCCGCTGCACGCTAGTAAGCCTAGGCCTGCGGAACTGCGCTTTAGCTCTAGGCCAAGCAAAGCCTAAGCTAAGCCAAGCCTATGTTAAACTTTTAGCGAAGGTCAAGCTAATACTATGCCGAGCAGCTTAAGCTATGCCTAAGTTAAGCCTACGCTCAGCCTAGGCATCGAAACTGAACCTTTACCAACAATAAATGTATTCAAATATCCAAAAAAATGCGAATTTCAGAAATTCTATGGGCATGAAAATAGCTTCAAAATTCTGTTGCTGAATTCCAGCGCTCGCCTCGGGCTCACTGCAAAGAGAAATATAGCATCATGCTGCCACCCCCACCCCCCTTCCTGTTATGTAAATTCTGCGAGCATCGGCCCGCTGGGGTGGGAACGGGGCTAGCCGCAGAACTTTCGGTTTGAATCGCGGGCTTTCTTTGGCCAATCTGCGTTTTTGCCTTTAACAAAAATATGTGAAAAGGAAAATGTATCTCGGAAGAACCGATTTGGTTGAGGAAGCGACTTGAAGGTCAAGGACTTTCCGGAAGAGAATGAACACTTGGAAAGATAGGTTTAAAGAAAGGTGAACAAGCATATGATTCTAGATAGGAAGACGATGGTAAAGGTCGAAATTATTTACTTTTGGGAAAATTTTAGATAACGTTGGAATATTTTAAGAAGAGAAAAGAGGACAGAGAGCGAGACAAAGAGAGAGAGAGAGAGAGCGAGAGAGATAGAGACAGAGAAAAACGCAATTCAAGCACAAGATAACTTGTCATCACACCACCGAAATGACGATAATCCCCCAAAATAGATCGATAAAGGGGGGAGATGGTGGGTGTCTTTGTGTGTATCCTGGGGGGATATGTCCTCATCCCCCACCTGTGGCCATTTTTTGGCGCGAGTCCCCCGAAGAGGGGCGCCTTGCGCAATCTCCGCCCCTTCAGCCGTTCTCTCTCTCTCGCTCTCTCGCATTCCCCCCCTCCCTCGCTCTCTCTCTCTCCCTATCGCTCTCTCTCTCTCTCCTATCGCTCTCCCTCTCTCTCTCTGTCTCTCTCTCTCTCTCTCTCGCTTGCCTCGTTACTCAAACAATTATTCCAAGCCAGGACCCCCAGGATTTGGTGCAGGATTAACGCCCTTATAATGCTCGATAATCGAAAATTGGCCCGGCGGCTATAACCAACCGGTTAGCACATTAAATTCGAAGTAGGCCGTTGAGCCGGGTGGGTTTTTCCCAAAGAAACGTCGGCCGCATCTAGGCTCTGGCTTAGGCTTGAGCTCGGCCCCTGATTGCCTAATTACGGTCGGGGACGGAACGGTGAAAAGTGCAAAAAAGATGGTTGGCACCGATTAGGCGAAGAAAGAGGAGAGAGCAAGAGAATGCGGAACGTGTTGGTGTATTTCTAAGCGATAACCATCTTCAAGGTGCGAAAGATATACAGGTCTTCAAGGGAGGATGTTGCTTCTTTTAGCTGAAAAAAAACCCCTCGAAAAACGGCCCTGAAACAGCGTCGTCAAGGTCAATCGAGCCCAAATGCACAACGTCTCCGGAAATTTCGACAAAGAGGTCGTTGCGAGTGTGTGAAAAGGAAGAGCCGTAGAATCGGATCTTGTTGAGGAGAAGGTTGTGTAGAGGGATGAAGATGTAGAGAGAGAGAGAGAGAGAGAGAGAGAGAGAGACCCCTTTGGATGGCCAATCAAGGCCTTGTGAACACTCAGATGCCGGTGGCCACAATCACCACCTCCTCCTGCTCTGAGGTGACTCATTTGATTAGGGCCAACCCTCTGTGGCTGGGGGAGAGGGGGTGGCTAAGGTCATTATGGCCCCCGTAGGGCCAATCGAGGTTGTCGAAAGGAACCGCCATCGGGACCTGTCGGTATAATTTTGATGAATCGCAAGCCTTTGAATTAAGGGATCACGGGTAGATCCGGGGCGATCTTTTGCTCTGGCTTATGCTTGAGCTAGGCTCGGCCTAGGTGTGTTTCGGGCTTACTTAAGTTTTGAAAAAGCTTGCCTTGGCTTTGACTTGAATCACGCGTAGATTAGGCTTGGCTTAGGTGACAGCTTATCAGGCCGGCTTGGACTTATTTTTGGCATGATTGAGACTTAAAGGGGTATGGCAGGCCCAGTGGATGAGGGCTTCTCTGGGATTGGCAACGCGCCAACCGGAAATGCTAATGCAAAAAAATGGGCAGAGAGTGGGGAGAGACAGGAGGGTACAGAGACGAATTATGCTAATTTTAGAACCAAAGCACGTTGTATGCTGATCTTTCTTGGGCCTGCCTGATCCCTTTAAAGGTACACTAAAGTCTCGTTGGTTTGGTTACCGGCCGGTAACCGTCCGCAGGATAGCAAACAGGGTTACGGTAGGTGCTCGCCGCGGAGCAAAACCGAACCCGCGCCACTCGCCTGGGGCAAGCGCCATAGACCGATAGGCCATGGGACAGACGGGACAGGGGAAAGGGAAGGGGAATAAGAAGGGTCCGGGCGTTGCGTGGCAGAGGACCCGGATTTCTGACCGCGAACTGACTCTTGGCACGAGATTTTAGTGTACCTTTAAGCACAAGCGCTTAGCTCGGGCGTCAGCTTGGTCAAAAACCGACGCAAAAGCGAGA